AAGGGAACAGGCAGTAGCCAGGCTTCCAGGTTTGTTAAGGGTTAAAAACTGTGAGGCTGGGCACTACTTTAATCCCAGCACTTGGGAGGCAGAGGCAGGTGGATCTGAGTGCTACAGAAACCCTGTCTCCCAGTAAAAACAAATTACAACACTGTTCGGGAAAACCTTAACAAGTATTTCCACCAGTTTGAGATGGTCCCAGATTTGCTAGAGGACAGAGGTAGCCGGCGGAAAGCCAAGGGGAAAAGGCTGAATCTGTGCGCTCACACAGTTCCCAGGAGGCATCCTGGCTATGGAGTGAAATGAGTGGCAATCGAACCCAGTGCACTAAAAATGCCCCACCTGGAGCAGTCACACCCCTCCTGGGGTCAGAGAGGGTTATTTTGATTCCTAACACAATGCCATCACCTAGGTACAGCCAGCCCAGGAAATAAAGCCTTTGATCGACACCAGAGGGCGGCAGTGCCCTGCCCAACCACAAAGGCAGGTAGGTACAGGCCACAGAATCAAGGCGACTACAGATCTACGGTGGACCCTTCTCTGCTGGCTGCAATGGCCCCAGCTCTAAATGGACCTCAAAGGCACCTAGCCCACACCAGAGACCCCAGCGCTGGCACATGCTGCTCTCAGCGTCGCAAGACACCAGTAAAAGAAAGCCCAGCCAGGTGCCAAAGATAAAAAAGTCCCAAGTGCAGGCAGCTGGGCTACAAAAATAGCTATTTAAAAGGACACAGAGCGCTGGAGGGAGAAGGGGCAAAGAGGTGCAACAAAGGGCACCCACTATTAAGAGCCACTAGCCCAATTTTCTTCACAAGCCTGACAAATGAAACTTCTAATTGTGAGTTAAGTGAATCCTCCAGGGGGGCTGATGTCTCATGGGAGCAAACTCCAGGCAATTAGGGTGGGTTTCAAAAGGAAAACCTGGTCCCTCCCTTCTCATTGCCACCACATGAAGACTGTTGAAGAAACTTGAATCCAAAACCCCCTTGAGCCCTCTGCTGGCCACTTCCAACTTTTTCCTGAAGAAAAATGATTCAGAAAAGTTTAAAATAAAGAGGTACCAGGCTCCTCAGCACGAGGCCGGCTGCCTGCCTGGTGAGAAGGCCTGCCTTTGTTCGCCCTCCTCCCCAGCATCTGAGGCGTCTCTAAATTCTCCTTCCGGGACTGACTAGGGGGGTTGGGGGGGCACTCTCGCTTGGTGGCTTTGAGAGGCAGGGTGCTCGGAACAAAGCTGGGTGGGCGGATGGAAAGCTCTGGTGGCCAACTTACCTGTTTGCCCCGGTAAAACAGTCTCTGCAGCTGCGGGTCCACGTGAAACAGCTCCTCAATCTTTTTCCTCAGCTCCTGCACCTTGGTCAACCTGGACAGGGAGTCCACGGTGTGCGTCTCCTTCCCATCCATGGTTCGAACCTGGATCCACATGGTGCCGATATGCTGGAGGGATGGAAAGAGAAAGACAGGGAGACCCCGTCAGTGTGGCCTGCCAGGAGGCGGGGAAGTGGTGTACCCTCGCCCCAGCTGCTTTCTTTACATCTGATTGAGCTAAAGAAGCAACTCCCACAGTTAACCTCTTGGAGTCCTAGCCCCCAACACGGGCAGACGCCACCCTAGAGAACCAGGTGGCATAAATTAGGCACTTAATGTTTTAATAACCAGCGAGTGGGGCCAGTTGAGCGTGAACCGCCAAAGACATCCTGGGTGATCCAAGACAATCCACCACGTCTCCAAGAACGGGGGGAGCAATGTCCACGGCGGGGAAATGGCCCAAGTCAGGGTGAAAGCAGCCGCAGCTACTTTTATTCACTCGTTCACCCCATTCATTCATTCATTCCACGCAGTCTAAGTCCCAGTAGCGGGAACTTGCCAACTCCGAAAAGGACCGGAACTTAAGTCCCGGGACCGAGAACTCGGTCACAGAAGGACTCCCGCCACACACACACACACACACACACAACGCTAGAGAACCCCCCCCCGAAGTTCCGGGCCAGTGCCCCCCGCGCGTGCGCAGACCAGCCCCCCCGCCGTGGCCATGGCAACCGGCGGTCCCGGACCGGCCCCAAACTCACCTAAGTCCCAAGCGCAGTTGGCTGTCCTGACCTCCCCCTGGGACACCGACCCTGGCCTCGGGATGGCGATTTAAAGAGCAGGGAGGCCCGGAGCCCACGCCCACACCCTCCGACGCCGCCAGGGTCAGACCCCCAGAGCCGCGCCGTTTAAGTTCCGCCCTTTCCGAAGCGCCCACTGCTGATTGGCTCCTCCCGGCTACACGCCCCGCCCTCCCCGCACGCGATTGGTCAAGACGTACTCGGAGAAGCCAGGGCGCGCGAAATCCGACTCCGGCGCGACAATTGAATCGCTAGGAGCGCACGCGCGCAGGCGCGGAGCCGCGTGTACTCCCCAGCCGGACCCCACTCATTTGCCACAGACTTAGCTGCACCCAAGAGGGCCAAAAACCGGTTTTGAGTGGAGAACGCCTCTCAATGAATTCGTTGCCCCTTAACGAATACAGAAGCACGCATGCGCGGTGGTTCTCTGCACTGACCAGAGCCACGCGCGGGAAAGTCTTGCCAAGTTTTCGGGTGTAATCGTATGCACGGGACCAGAGGAGGAGGCTCAGCGTGGAGGATACAGTTTGGATTTCCCTTACACATGATGCGGGGCCACGCGTGAGCGATGGCTCTCTGTAAATCTCACCCACGCGCGGCAGTTTTGCCAAGTTTTGCAAAGCCCCCCCCAACCCGAGCAGTCAACGTTATGCTATTGGCCAGAAAAGGGGGTTAGCGTGGAAGGCAATTAGGATCCCCAAAAACAAGCCGCCGCAACCGCGCGTGGAAATGAGTCTTTGCAGTTTTACGCAGTGCCCGGCCGCGCTGCTGAGTGCTCACAGCCCGATCTACTCACCTCTCCCGCGGCGGCGATCCGCACTCTCCTCTCCTCGGCTCTAGATTAGGGCTCTGGCTGGATGACCCAGGAGGGAACCGCGTGAGTGGCCGAAGACAGTGAGCCCCAGAGCGCGCGATCCTTCCAGCTGCTAGGGCTTTTTTTTTTTTTTTTTTCCCGCGAAAACTCAGGGCGTTTTTAGAAGTGTGCACAGGCAACTACGGCAGACTCTGCCACCCCAAGGGGGAGGAGGGCGGGCTCTTGATTCCTGATTGGCTGGCGCAGTGGCGGGAAGCAAGAAAGAGAGTGGGGCGTCCCCACCACTGGGGATCTACCGCACCCCTGGCTCCACCCAGCGGGCCACGGACTTGCCCTGCCGCCTGTGAAGTTTACCAAGAAGGCCCAGGTCCTCCACCAGGCAAACCTCATAGGAAACCGGGGGTACCCCCGCGGAGAGACCCCTGTCCCCAGGACGTGCCCATTCCCTCTCCGCTGGACAAACTTTCACCTCTCCATCTAAGCAGCCATGAATCTATGTCCATATACCCCAGAGGGACTTGAGTACCTCCCACCAGACAACCTGTACCCTAGATTTGGCCTAAGCACCCCAGGTTCACTGGGCACACTGAGTCAACGCAAGGCAACGCAGCTGGTGGGCTCCCACACGACCCACCCGCAGGGCTTCTTTCTCCCCGCCTAGCTTTTCCCGCCTTCTGCAAGCTGTCCAGGCGGGCAGGGCCTCCCTGCCCCCTCCACTCCGGCCCGCTCATTCTGACTATTCTTGGCGGGCACTCAGAGCTGGGCATCTGTGCAGTAACTGATGGACAGAGAGAGGAGGGCTAGGGGGCCCAACCGAATGCAAGGTACACCCTTACCCTCTGGCGTTTGGGGGTCTCTGGGGAAGCAAATCCTCCTCTAGGAACCAAGGGAAAATAAATTAATAAATATAAAGCACAATTCCAGGTACAAACACAAGTCCTGAGGTCTCGGAAGTGACCAGCAGCCACGTGAGGGCTGGAGCAGAGGCACTTCCTCTGAGGAATGCGGAGGATATGTTGGGTGTGGAGAAGGCTTGGGGTGGGAGTGGGACAGGAGGAGGTCTCTAGGCTGGGATAAAGAATGAGTAAGACTTCAGAGGCCATGGAAGGACTTTGGTCTCTGCCTTCTCTACCTTGGAGGCCTTAGAGGAAAGACTTCCCATTTGTGTTTAACTGTTTTTGTTTTTGTTTTTGTTTTTGTTTTTAGAAACAGTCTCACATAGCCCAAGCTAGCCTCCAACTTGCTCAGTAGCTGAACATGTCTTTAAACTCTAGAGCCTCCCGCCTCCACCCTTCCTAGTTCTGGGCTAGCAGGTGTACCCTACCACACCATAGTGATGATGAAAGATTTCCTAGGTAAGCACCGCCATTTTCCGAAGTGCAGTCCCACAAGACCGACAAGACAGACCGCAGACAGGGAACAGGGTCTTCTCGTGGAGCCTCAGGACATCTGGCTCAGGCTAGTGTTCTGAAACTCACTACATACCCCAGGCTGACCCTAACACAAGTTTCCTGCCTCACAAATGCTAGGATTAACAGCATAAGCCCCAAAGCTACTAGCTATTTATTATTATTATATTATTATTATTTGGTTTTTCAAGACAGGGTTTCTCTTTGTTTCCTTGGCTGTCCTAGACTCTTGGTAGACCAGGCTGGCCTTGAACTCCCAGAGATCCACCTGTCTCTGCCTCCAAGAGTGCTGGGATTACAGGTGTGCACCACAGCACCAGGCTTAGCCCTTTTATTTTAAGGTTCACACAAAGTACAAAGTTGCCCCGGCTGTCCTTGAACTGTTTTGAGCTTGCCTCAGCCTCCCAAGTTGCTGCAGTGACAGGCCTGGAGCTAGAATGTAAGAGTCAAGACAAGCATGGGTAGTTTGGGAGATGAGGCAGGAGGATCAAGAGTTCAAGATCACCCTTGAATACAGAAGCAGCTCAAGGCGTGGGCTAGCAGAGAACCTGCCTCCTTCCCAGAACCCTGGGTGGAGTGATGTCACAGAGGTCGCCACAGCTGAGGAGTCCAGGGGGAGCTGGGTGGCACTCGGCGGAGGGGAAGGATGTGTCTACCCCCGCCCAACCTCCCATGTCTGTGGTGAAATCCATCGAGTTAGTAATGCCCAAAGATGAGGTCTACCTGGCCGGCTCGAACGTAGATGGGCAGGTGATCCTCACCCTCAACAGCACCCTGGTGGACCCTGTCGTGAAGGTGGAGCTGGTCGGCAGGGGTTACGTCGAGTGGAATGAAGAAATCGGAGAGACCCGTGATTATAGCAGAGATGTTATTTGCAATAATAAGGCGGATTACGTACATAAAACAAAAACATTCCTAGTGAAAGGTAAGAATGTGGACAGCGGCCTGGGGCAGGAAGGTAAATACCTCTGACTGGATGGGCAGAGGGAGGTCATGATAAACAATAACCAGTGTGAAGATATCGAGGTGAGAGCCAACCTGAATCGGGCCTTTCAAAATGAGCTCACAAAGACCCTTGGGAAGTACTGTATTCAGCCCCACAAATGACTGGGAGAGGCCCTCTGGCGTTGAGACTCAAGTGGGCTCAGGAAGGTGTCCCGAAGGTCTCAGGACAGGAGAGGAGGAGAGAGATGAAAGTTCTCCATCCTGCGAGTTTAGCTCTGACATCACATCACCCTGAGTGTCCTGGGAGCTCTGTCTCCTTCCCAAACTGTGTTATTGGGTTGTTGTGGGTGTTCACAGGTTTTCCAAGTTTGGGGTTTTGTTTTAAGGCTGTCTATGTAGTCCTGGCTGGCTGTCCTGAAACTTGCTGTGTAGAGCAGGCTGGCCTCAAACTCACAGAGATCTACCTGCCTCTGCCTCCCCGAGTGCTGGGGTTACAGGCATGCAGGAGGCGGGAGAGTGGCTCCATGATTCAGACGGATGACTGTCTTCCGAAGGACCAGAGTTCAAGTCCCAGCACCCACATGGCAGCTCACAACTGTCTGCAACAGATACACATGCAGGCAAAACACCAGTGCACATAAACTGAAAACAAAATTATGTATACTAATAACTAAACATTATTAGTGTTTTATAGTTTTATATACATGAATGTTTTGCCTGTGTCTATCTGTGTGCCATGTGTGTTGCCTGGTGCCCAAGGAGATCAGAAGAGGGAATTGGATCCCCAGAAACTGGAGTTATAGCTAGTGTGAGCAGTCACATGGGTACTGGGAACTGAACCCAGGTCCTTTGCAAGAGCAGCCAGTGCCCTAACTGCTGAGCGGCCTACAGACCTTTGTTTAAGAAAGGCTCTTACTCTGTAGCATCATGCCAAGTGTCAGGAGTATTTTTTTCTCATTGAAAGATCTAATACTTAACTGCCATAGTAGCACTCTGGAGGCTGAGGCGGGAGGATTCCTGACAGTTTGGGACCAGCCTATGGCACAGAGCTCAGCATTACATAAACCAGGAATGGTAGAGCATGCCTGTCACCTGTCACCTCAGCACTGGAGATGGAGGCAGGAGGATCAGGAGTGTAGCACATCCTACACAGTGAATTCCAGGCCAGCCAAGGCTCACCCTGAAAGACAAAACAACAAAACAGACAACCCTGCCCCTCCCCAGTTCATAACCTGTGATTCACTCAGCTATCAGCCATTTATGGAGCACCTACTGTTTTCCAAATGCAAACTAAGTGTTGCATTTACAATTCTGAATACAACAGATAATGTTTCTGAAGTTGAAGGGGAGGGGAGGCCATGAGAAGGTCAGTGGTGGTGCACACCTTTAATCCCAGTATTCAGGAGGCAGAAGTACCTGAATCTCTGAGTAGAGGCCAGCCTGGTCTACAGACTGAGTTCCAGGACAACCAAGATTACACAGAGAAACCCTGTGTGTGGGCGTGGGGGAAAGGATAAGAGGGTTTAGAGGGCCAGCTTATCAGGTAAGAACACTTACTACCGAGCCTGGATCACAGGCATATGCACACACAACACACACACACACACACACACACACACACACACACACAAATAAAAGTGCAATAAAAAAGTAAACAGAACAAGCCAGTCATGGTGTTACGTGCCTTTAATCCCAGCATTGAGGAGGCAGAGGCAGGCAGATCTCTCTGAGTTTGAGGCCAGCCTGGTCTGCAGAGTGAATTCCAGGAAAACCAGAGCTACACAGAGAAACCTGTCTTGAAAACTCAATAAAAAGAAAGAAAAACAGAAAAGATAAAGCAGGTTCACAGAAACTGCAGCAGAGTCGGAGGGTCCAGCTTTCTCAGCTGGCACTCAACACACATGGGGGTATGGTTCAGTGGTCCTCCCACCAGAAAAGGTTCTGGAAAGTTCTCACACACAGCCTCGGTGTGTTTCATTACAGACAATTGGTTAAGGGCAGGCAGCCACACCTTTGACTTCCATTTCAACTTACCTCCCAGGCTTCCGTCCACCTTCAACAGCAAGATCGGCCACATCTCCTACTTCGTGCAGGCCCTGTGCATGGGCCGGGAGCACATCCTGGCCAAGAAGAGGCTATACTTGCTGGTCCAAGGCATTTCTGATTTCTGCCAGCAGAACCTAATCCAGGTACCCAGGGGATGGGCACAGGCACAGTAGGGCTACTGACCCAGGCTCCTGGGTGATTTTGCAAAAGGGGGCCCGAGCAGTAGGGCTTAGTAGTTAGAGGTGATTGTTGCCAAGCCTGGTGGCCTGAGTTTGGAGAGCCAAGAACCACCTCCAGCACTGAGCCCTTGGCTGCCTCGTGCATGTTGAAACCTGGGCACCCACTCCCTCCCATCCCCCACCACACAGTAATTGATCAAAAAATGTTAATAGAAAAGGTAGCTCGCTTGGAAGCCAGAGCAGGACCTTAGCAGGCGGGGTGGCTTTCAGCTCTGATTGCGTGCCCTGGCCATGTCTTGCAGACAAGTGACTGTTGGGGCCACTCCAGGCCCCAGTTCACCATGGAGCTCTTCCACCCACCTCTCCCAAAACCTGTTAAAAGCCAAGTGAGGGCATTTAACAGCAGGGTCGAGGTGGTGTGCCCTTGGACATGAGTGGCTGTCACAGGGGGGAAAGTGTGTGGATGCCAGGGACTTGACCCCAGCACCTCACAGAGCCCAGAACACCTGCAGGGAGCAACCCAGTCCTTTCCCAGTGATGCTACGGGGAACCTCCTGGTCAGTCCCACAGAGCCAGGATACTCGGTGGCCCCTTTTCTAGGGCCTGTGAACCCTACCACAGTGGAGAAGGTGGCCTCGGTCCTCATGGGAAGAAAGGCCCAGCCTCCAGCCTCCAGCCTTCAATCGTGGTGCCCTACCCACCCGTCAGTCCTGAGGTAGATTTGAAATGACTAACCAGGGACATTGATTCCCCTCGCCCAGAGCCTAGCAGTCAGAGGCAGGAAGGAGGGTCTTGATTGGAGGTCCAAGCTCAAATTCCAGCAACCCCTCTGTCTGCCACGTGACTCTATCCCCCTTAGGGAAAATGGGTACTTGAAACCAGGGTGCAGATGTGACTCTGACTCAGTGGGAGAGCCGAGAGAAAAGGGAGAGAGACAGAGAGACAGAGATCAGGACTTTTAGAAGCTTGGGCCTGCCTCAGGGCAGTGATACAGTCCCCACATAGGACCTGTCACCTTCACAGCAGTCACCTTCACAGCAATGGAAGCTTGTGACCCAGCCAACATCAGGGGGATGCTGGGAGGACTCAGGGCCTCAGCACCCGCCCCCTGGGAGCCCTTCTGCAGGCCATGTGCCCTCTCTGGGGCCTGCGTGAGAACCAAAGGTGACTGACGGAGAACCATGAGGGAGCATCAGTGAAGAGCACAGCCTGTGCAAAGGCCCTGGGGCTGCCCAGTGCCCAGGTGAAGGATGGCGGTGAGGTGAGGAAGCCCATGTGGGGGCCCCAGCTTGGTTCTCGCCCACCACAGTTCCTTGAGGCCTGCGGAGGCCCCAGCACAGCCATAAAGTTGAAGGTTTGAGCACGCAGAAGGTGCCCAGAAGGGATCTCCTCGCCTTAGTGTAGCAGGCAGAGAGAATGGCCCCTTGTTGAGAAGGTTGGCGAGACACGCGGTGAGAGGCTGAGCGTGGAAGATGATGTCAAAAGGGTCAAAGATTTCAGGGAGAGGTGGGGCATGCCTGTAATCCCAGATCTCTGTTAGTTCAAGGCCAGCCTGTCCAGGATAGCCAAGGCTACACAGAGAAACCCTGTCTCAAAAAAAAAAGTCAAGGATTAGCTAGACCCTTGACCCTTGACCCTTGATCCTACAAGGACAGCACCTGAACCTGACTATGCTCTTCTTTTTCCTCTTCTTCCTCCTCCTCTTCTTGGTTTTTCTAGACAGGGTTTCTCTGTGTAGCCTTGACTGTCTTTGACTCGCTTTGTAGACCAGGTTGGCCTTGAACTCCCAGAGATCCACCTGCGTCTGCCTCCTGAGTGCTGGGATTACAGACCGCTGTGCCCAGTTTGTACTTTTCTTTTTCATTCTATATTTTCACATTTATCTATCTTGGTGGAGGGGCTCTGCCACAAGCGCACATTAGAGGAAAGCTTTCTGTAGGAGTCACTTCTTTCTTTCCACTGTGTGGGCCCATGTGGATTGAACTCTGGTCTTTAGATTTGGGGACAGGTGCCTTTCCCTGCTGAGCCATCTTGGAGCCTCCTAATGGGTTGTATTATTTAAATCACAAGTCATAACCTATGAGAAAGTTGCAAAAGTCAATTTAGCATGATCAGGGTGTAGCAGTACATCCCAGACCTTGAAAGGCTGAGGCAGGAGGATGGCGATCTGTTAGAGACCAACCTCAGCTATCTAGTGAGAACCTGAGTCAATGACAGTGATGACAATAATAATAATACTAATAATAGAAATAAGCCAGGGGTGGTGGCACACACCTTTGATCTCAACACTTGGGAAGCAGAGGCAGGCTAATCTCTGAGTTCAAGGCCACCCTGGACTACAAATCGAGTTCTAGGACAGCCAGGGCTGCAGCACAATGCCTGACTGTTTATTTGTTTTGTTTTGTTTTTGTTTTTTTGAGAAAAGGTCCTGGTAGCCTAGGCTAGCCTCGAACTTCCTGTGTAGCAAAGGATAAGATTGGAAATCCTGACCCTCCAGCCTCCACCTGCTGAGTGCTGGGGACAGGCGTGTGCCGCCACAACAGACTGCTTTATTTGGTGCTGGGTTGGAGAACCCGAGGCCCTTGTATATGCAGGATGAGGGCATCTACTCACCGAGCCCTCTCTGCCCTGTGCTTTTGAAAACCATCTCATTCTATAGCCCAGTCTGTCCCTTCTTTAGCCCAGGCTGCCCCTGAGCTAAGCCTCCTCCATCTGGGCCTCCTGAGTGCCCCAAGGTCCCTAGCGCTGGAGACACAAATCTGGGTCCCACATCCCCCTCAGCACACCAGAGGCTTCTGTGACTCTCAGGGGTCTATCCCCTTCCCTTTAAAGAACCCCGTGTCCGTGGAAGCCGAGAAGAAAGTGGTGTATAGCTGCTGCAGCCAGGGCTGGGTGAGGCTGCAGGTGCTGATGGGCAAGAGCACCTTCGCGCCGGGTGAGAGGGTGACGTTCACGTCCGAGATCTGCAACCACACGGGCAAGTACATCAAGACGGTGGTGTTCGCCCTGTACGCCCACATGCAGTACGAGGGCTTCACGCCCAACGCCGAGAGGCGCTGGCGGGCAGACAGCAGCGAGCTGCTGCGGCAGATGGCCAACGCGCGCATCCCGGCCTTCAACAGCACCACGGTGGTCAGTGCCTTCAACCTGCCGCTGGTGCTGTCTCTGAGCAACAGCTTCCAGGAGAACGAGATCCTGCGGACCAGCTACGAGCTTGTGGTCACCATCCATCTCCCCTGGTCCTTGTCGGCCGTCAAAGCCCGGGTCCCCATCATCATCACCAGTACCAGGGAAGACAAGGGCTACTGCTGCCAGGATGAGTCGCCAAATGACAATCAACTGGTTTGACTGCCCGAACTTTAAAGATTAAAAGCTTATTCTAAGTCTCAGCTGTTTGTCTGCTGGGCCTGGGGCTAACCAGGGCTGTACAAAGCCCTGGGCTCTGTCCCCAGTACCACACAGTCTCCGTGGGACGGCATACACCTATCATCCCAGCACTCAGGGGGATGAGCTGGAGGGGCAGGAGTTCAAGGCTGGCTTCAGCTCCACGTAGCAGCCTTGTGAGACCCTGTCTGAAGGGAACAAAGGTGTCTCTAGGATCTTGGCAGCCTCTGTGGGACAAGCTCTCATGGGCTAAGTATCTACATCTGGACAAAGATTCCCAAGGCCTTGAGCATGGCGACACACACCTAGCCCCGAGCACTGGGGAGGCCGAGGGAGTATGATGAGAGGTTTGAGGTCATCATTGGCTACATCAGTGACACAGCTAAAGCTTGCTGGAACAATCAGTGACACAGCTAAAGCTTGCTGGAACATTCTATCCAGTTCTACAGCTTTCTCTTGTCCCCTTCCACCTCTACCCCTGAGACTCAGTGACCCACACAGGCAAACGTTGGGGACACTTCCTGTGTGGTGGCTGATGGCACCCACTGTGCCAGGTGGGCCAACGGGAGATGGCAGCTGGGGCCTCCCTGCTTCCTGTTCCCCGTGGACGGGCCCCTCATTCTCCTTGGCTCCTGATTCCAAAATACCCCTCTCAGAAACCCAAGCCACCCACACAGCTGCAACCTCTCTAGGGTAGGTGGGGGGAGGGGAGAGGGAACAGAGTGGCAGGTGGGGAGGAATGTCCACATTGCAAGCCCTGGCCACCAGTGCTGTGACACCCCCCCCCCCACCATCTAGGGAATGTGAACTCTGTCATCTAGGGCTGGCGGAAGGAGGTCAGCCCTCTTGTCAATTAGAGGGGCTTAAGGGTCCTATTGAGGCAGCCAGATGCCACCGCCAAGGTCCAGAGTGACGCCTCCATGTTCACCAGGACAGCAGGCCGCTCGGTCTCCGTTCAGGAGACCCGTCTCCAAAGAGACAGCAAGAACAATCTGTCCCCACCAGCATGACAACCCGGCCAGGGTGACCTGGTGCTGGCAGTGCTCTGAGTTGCCGCCCAAGCCAAGACACCCCGGCCCAGGCTGCTCTCTGCAAGAATTGGGAGGGCCGTGGTTCCTGAGGGATTGGGTTACAGGCCCCACAGGGCACAGCCCTTGGGCCAGCAGAAGATATTTACCAAGTGAATTCTGCCCGCTGGCCGGCTTGCTTTAAGTCACCTCAGGAGCCAACCAGCAGCCTGCAGGGTCTGCCTCAGAGCCCAGAGAAACAGGAGACCGAGCGGATGCCTCTCCTAGGACCTGGGGTGGCCAGGAAATGTGGCCAGAGAGAGGAGACCAGGTAAACCACGGGGGGGGGGGGGGGGGCTTGAGAAGCAGGTCCAGCCTGGGTCTCAGCCATGCTCCTCCCCAAAGCCAGCCACCACCACCTCACAGGAGATGGCGGCAGGCAGCTGGCGCCAGGAGGCCCAGGAGGGCGGGGACAGCCAGGGCCTACATGTTAAATGACCCCTAGCTTCCTGTGGCCAGGGGCAGGACAAAGCCCTGGTCACACAGGCCATGTGAGGAGGAGTCAGCCTTGGACAGCAGCTGGCTGGTCATCAGGTTCCTGAGGAAAAGCTAAGACTTATGGCTGTTAATGTCTCCTCCAAAGAGCAAGGACCCGGTGATATCAGGACTCAGCCACTGCGGAAGAGGGCTCCCCGTCTGTCTAGAATCTTCCATTCCTTTTCCTGCCTTAAATCTCAGGTAGCCTAGGCTGGCCTCAAACTCACTGCATAACACAGAGCTACCCTTGAACGGATTCCCCTGGTCCCCCTTCTTCCAGCTCTGTGATGCTGGAGTGACCTGGTGGTTGTGGTGGGGGAGCAGAACCCAAGTTTTGTGTGAACTGTGCCCCAGCCCCTAATTTCTCCTAAAATGAAAAGAAGCCGGAAGTGGTTGCAGTATCTCCCATTCCAACACTTTGTCCCAGTCAGTCAGACCCTTGTAGCACAGGAGTGCCCCCACCAAAAATAGAGCTAACACATAGTTTTAAAGTTCCTTAGATTCACACACACACACACCCCAGCATTATTTTGTTTTTAAGACAGAATCAGTATGTAGCTCTGGCTGTCCATCTGGTGTTCCCCTAAAGTTTTGTTTGTTTCTTTGTTTTTCAAGACAGGGTTCCTCTGTGTAGCCCTGGCTGTCCTGGAACTCTCTCTGTAGACCAGGCTGGCCTCAAACTCACAGAGATCTGCCTCTGCCTCCCAAATGCCCGGATTAAAAGGGTTGGCCACCATGCCTGGCTCCCCTACGGTCTTAACACCATCCTGCCAGCCTATCTTTCCCGCTGGTCTCTGAGTCCTGCCAAGCCAAGAGGGTCCAGACTATCTCCCAGGGGCTGCCCTGCCGAGCTTGGCCTACAGTCCGTGGCTAGTAATTGTTCAATACCAGTATACCCATCCCATGAGCCCTGGGCCAGGCCCAAGGTTAATAGGGCATGCCTGCTATGGCAAAGAGGGACGCAGGGGGAAGGGGCGCTGTGGGGAGGGGGGTCACAGAGGGAAGTGGGGCGTCAGGGGCAGGGCGCCACCTGGCGGCAGCGTGCCCCATACCGCCCGGCCCTGTGAAGGCAGTTCAGTTGAAGCAGGAAGAGGAGGAACTCAAGTCTGAGTCAGGGCAGCCCAGAAAGAGAGGAGCTCCCGGTTGGAAGTCAGGAAAACACTAGCGGTAATTCAGGGAGGGTGGGTGCTCCCCCGGACCGGCTCACAGGTGTAGCTGCCAAGGTCTGTGCACGGGTCTCACAGGAGACCTGAGGGGTTAGGGAGCCGCGCATTCACACTCTCAGCCAACACAGTCACGCCTTTCTCAGCCCCTGCGGCCATCTGAGCTTAACACCTTGGGTTACAGACCCAAGGAAGAAAGATTTAGGGATTAAAAAAAAAAAAAAAAAGTCCAGGCAGCAGTTTCAGGATCCAGGAGTTGATCCAGTTGTCTAGGAGCCGAAAGCCGAGCGCTGCCCATGGCTGGCCATCTCTGGGCCTCAATGCCCTTGTACCCCAAAAAGGCCTTAGACAATGAGGGCCTCAGTCTGGGTGAGAGCAAGCTTTCATTTAGGACGGTATCAGGACTGGGGCTCAGGGTGCGTACCCTGCCTATCGATTCCCCTGTCCGATGAGCTTCTGAAGATGTCACTCAACCATCCCTTGGATCTGTAAGTTTCTTTGAGGTCTCTGGAAACGCGGGAGGATTCGTGGAGCTTCAGAACGGACCTCCCCTCTCCAGGACCTGAGCTCCAGATGTTTCTGGGACTCGACTAACGCAAGCAACCTGGTCTGGATCACCTTTGAAGGGTAGGCGGGTGGGCGGGACTACTCCGTGGGGACCTCTGATTGGCCCTCTGTCCCATCACTCCAAGGCCCTCCTTGCACGGGATTCACAGGGCCGCTCCGCCCCTCCCGGGCAGATTCGAGCTGGCCTTGGGAGAGGTCGCCCCGATTCCACGATCTGAGGACTCTGGTGAGAGCTTAAGGGGCAGGAGGAGGGGAGTCAAGGGGGGTCAAGGTCCATTTGGGGGCGCCCTTGGGTAGGAGGGAGAGAGGAGGCTTTGCTGGGAGGATCAGGGGTCCCCCAATTCCTGCGCGCTAGGAATTCCTACTTTTACAGGAGATTGTAACTTTCACAAGAGGTTCCAACTTTTGCAGAGCTTCCAACTCTTGGCCTGGGTCGTCCTGGGGCTTTAGAGGTGGAGACTGAGTCCCTGAGCGCCAGCGTTAGAGCTGTGCTCAAATGCACGTCCCGTGCTTCCTGGCCTGCGGTCTACCCTCCCCCTCGGGAGACTCCTGTCCCCAAGAACAACTAGCCCAGCTGCCACAATTGCACATAGTTTTACCAGCCCAGCGCCGGTCCCAGCCGCTGGAGTGGGGGCGGGGGTAAGAGGGGCCCTTGCATAAAGCCAGGCCTGTTTCACAGGGGGTTGTGACCTATGATCTTGTTCCCAGCGGGGCCTGGTGCCTCCTTCTCTTGGAATCTCTCAAATTCAGTGTGTTGGTGATTGTTTTTGGAAATGGTCCTACTCTGTAAACTAGGGTGGTTTGGGACATGCCATCCCCCTGCCTCCACCAGTAATGCTGGAATGGCAGCATTGTCACCAAACCAGACGGAAAGACTCCCTTAACCACTTCTAAGCCTTGGCTACCCGCTGTGCCTGTGGCCCTGGGGGCTTCTCTGGCTTTCTCAGCGGAGAAAGTAATCTTGTGGGCGGGGCGTGTGGGGGAGGGTCGGTTCCTGGCAGCTGGAGCCAGCTGTGGGGAGGTCAGAGACCACAAGGATTCAGAAGGCACTCATAGGAAGTGGCCACCCTTGCTGGTGATGGGGAGCCCCAGAGGTGTGTGGCTCCTAAGGGATCAATCAGGCTTGCTCCCCACTTTACCAGGTGGCAGTGACAGGTTTAGGTAGTGATCACAGGGCCTGAGGCATGACCATCATCACCTGACTCCTCCTTGGGAAATCTGTCACAAACCGGAAACTGCAAGCTTCACCGTCAGCAGACCAGTTTGTGGGGCATCCACTTAGGCTTAACTGAGTTGAGCATCTCCCAGATACCGAGCATCTCCCAGGTACCGCCAGACGATCCATCAGCCAGGGAAATGAGCTTCCCAAGGGGTCATCGATCTCTGAGCTCCAAAGCCAGTGAGATGGTACAGACTGATGCTTGAGTTTGATCTGGAAAAGGAGATCTACTCCTGCAAGCTTGTCTTGGTTAACAAGCATGCAGGCTGACCTCCACGTGGGCACACTACCTGAGCATGAGTGTATACACACAACCACACACACACACACACACACACACACACGATAATAATAAAGTCGCTCGGGAGGCAGGTGGATCTCTGAATTTGAGGCCAGCCTGGTCTACAGAGTGAGTTCCAGGACAGGCAGGGCTACACAGAGAACCCTGTTTAAAAAAATCAAAAATAAATGAATGAACAAATAATATAAATAAGGTGTAAAAACTAAATAGAAAGAGGGTTGGTTGTGTGGTTCAGTAGTGAGCAGTTGCCTGGTGTGTGATAAGATCCCATGGGCTGGGCATGGTGACACAGGCCTGGAATCCTAGCACTGAGGGAGGCAGAAGCAGGTGGATCCCTGTGAGTTCGGGGCCAGCCTGGTCTACAAAGTGAGTCCAGGATGTCCAAGGCTACACGGAGAAATGGTGTCTTGAAAAACCTAAAAAAAAAAAAAAAAAAAAAGAACCCGTGGGGCCACCCTAAACCTTGTGCACACGCACACACCCCAGATCCCCAGATCCAGTGTGCTCAGGAGTTAGTGGGTTCAGACTTGTCACCCCAGAGTGTCCTGGGGCACCAGTGTCTGCAGCATTGACAACCTTTAGACCAGACCGGATGGCTACATGAGTCACTGGAGCTGGGGAAGAGAGACAGCGTGGCCTTTGCAGAGCCAAGAGTCCAGCTTTCCTCTGACATGGTCACATTGGTTCAAAACCCTGCCTTGTGTTATTTTTTGAGACACGGTCTCATGTAGCCCAGGCTGGCCTAGACTTCACTGTATAGTGGAGGATGACCTTAAACTCCCCCTCTTCCCTTCAGGTGCCACCATGCCCCGTGTCTGTGGTTCTGGGGTATCACGTACGTTGATGCTGCCCTCTGGTGCCAGCCCCAGTCTTTAACTGGTTTTTATTTTGGGGTTTGTTTTGTTTTGAGGGGGGTTGGATTTTTTTCAAAACAGGGTTTCTCTGTGTACCTTGGCTGTCTTGGACTTGCTTGGTAAACCAAACTGGCCTCGAACTCACAAAGATCCGCCTGCCTTTGCCTCCCCAAGTGCTAGGATTACAGGGGTGCACCACCGAACCCAGCTTTTAACTGGTTTTTAAACAGGTTATATTACCTACCTGGCCTAAAAGTCAGGCACCTGCCTTCTACCTCTATCTGAACCCTGTCCTTAGTCATCGAGTTTCCTGACCTTCTAACATCTGTGTAAAGACAAGTAAAATCAGGCAGCAGGGATGGCTCAGCAGAGTGCCTACTGCTCCCTCAGAGGATCCGGTTCAGTTCCCAGCACCGGCTCCAGGCTCCTTACACGACCTAACTGCAGCCCCAAGCGTCTGGTGGTCTTGCCTGGACTCTGCCGCCCCTGCATGCATGCAAACAAAACTAAGGGATAAGCCTTTGTAAGATTTATTACACTTGTTTATTTTTGCTTTTTGAGATGGGGTCTCACTGTAGACCAGGCTGGCCTGGGACCCACGGAGATCCTCCTGCCTCTCCTGAACGCCCAAGCGCTGGGATTAGAGGCGTGCACAGCCACCAGGCTTTACCTTGTTATTTTAAGTCTGTGCGTGTGTGTGTGTGTGTGTGTGTGTGTGTGTGTGTGTGTGTGTCCGTGTGTGTCCGCGTGTGTGTGTGGGGGTGCCCATGGAGAGGCTTCATGCCCTAGAACTGGAGGTGCAGGCTATCGAGAGCCCCTGCTGTGGGTGCTGGGAATCAAACTGAAAGAATAGGACATGCCTTCTGCCCCCAAGCCACCTTTCCAGCCCCCCAAATAAGGAGAATCTTGGACACTATTTCAGACATTTGTCTCTGAACATCTTGGCAGAGGAGATTCTGTCTTAACTTGAACATACAGGACATTAGTTAGTTGTTTTGTTTGTTTTCCCATCTGCTGGTCATCTAGGTTGTTTCTACTGTCATGTTGAGACCCACAAAGGGGCACACTCCCCACACCCCAAAGCAGAACAGGTGTGGGGTCAGCTTCAGCTGTCTGGCTACATGGAAGAAGGCTGTGAGGGGAACGGTACCCTTGAGAGACGAATCGGACCTGACCTGTCTCCTTACTAGATGACAACAGGGGCCTTTAAAGAGGCACATCTGCTAGCTGTGGCCTAGGACCTGTGTCGCAAGCACACAGTAGGGGCCGGCTCAGGGATGCAACCCCACCTAGAATCCCCAGTGAGGGGCTGGGGGCGTGGTGAGGGGTGCACCTCTGTTGGGTGTGCCTGGGGCGCTGGGTCGGGGAGGAGCGAGGGTGAGCCGCGCTCTGAGAGGGCTGAAGGTTCATAAATCACCTGCGCTTCCTGTGTTCTGCCTTTCCCCAGAGGGAGGCGTGGGCAGGCTGTAACTTGACTGTCTCTTCTGTGCACAGTACCAGCGGCTGAGACCATGTCTAGCAATGGGGCAGATGGCCCAGCTGAAGCCCAGGCTGCTGTGGAGGAGCCTGTCATGCAGGTGAGGGGTGCCCAGGAGCCCTGGGCTTCTAGGCTGTATGGCAGCCTGTTGGGTGCTGGGCATGGCTGGCCAGGAGGGGGGGTAGGAGGTCTCCCTTCCTTCTTTCTTTCTTGTTTTTTTTTTTCCCTTTGTTTTGTTTGAATTTATGCACTGATAGCCCAGGCTATTCAGGAACTCACAGAAATCCCCCACCTCTGCCTTTGGCATGCTTCAGATTAAACTCCTAGTCCCAGCCCTTCATTCTTTTTTTCCTTTCAATTCAGGGTCTCATGTAGCACAGGTTAGCCTCAAACTCACTATATATGGCCAGCCAGGTTTACACATTGAGACCCAGTCTCAAAAAGTCCTCTGTCACCTCACTGCCTGACACATTACTGGGCGGTCAGCATGATGCTGAAACCAGTAAGGCACCAAAAGCAGAATATTCAAGTCCCTGTCTTATGCAATTGTTCGTGCCAGGCGCGATGGATCCCAGCTGATCTGTTCCCCAAATGAGAGCCGCCTGTGGGCAGGCCAAGCTTCTCACCAGTACCCCGCCCTCTGCAGCCCAGCGTGGTGGACCGCGTGGCCAGCCTGCCCCTCGTCAGCTCCACCTGTGGAATGGTGAGCGCCGCCTACGCCTCCACCAAGGAGAGCCACCCCCACGTGAGGACGGTGTGCGAGGCGGCCGAGACGGGCGTCAAGAGCCTCACCGCGGCCGCGGTCAGCGGCGCACAGCCCATCTTGTCCAAGCTGGAGCCCCAGAGTGAGTTGGGGAGCCCCGAGTGTGGAAAATGCCCCACATGGCCATCCTGGCAGGGAACACCCCCCCACACACACACCGCCTCTGAGCTCCAGTCCCCTGAACCAATCCTGGGAGGCTCTCCCACCTTTGAAGGGCAGTTGCGCTGAAAGTGTGTTTTCTCTGGCACCCTACAGTCGCGTCGGCCAGCGAGTACGCGCACCGAGGGCTGGACAGACTGCAAGAAAGCCTGCCCATCCTCCAGCAGCCCACTGAGAAGGTCAGTGCGAAGTCAGTTGACTCTGTCTTGAGGCCCTGCCTGGTCCTGCCGAGTCCCAGCCATATACAGAATGCACATGTGGCAGTCCTTACTGTCCCCACCCATCTAGTCAGACTATTATACTCTGGACCCTACTGAACCCAGAGCAAAGGGCACGTGGTGTCGCCTGGTCTGTGCCCTCAAGCACCCGTGCGTGGTTGAGATTAGGGTACACACCCTTAGAAACAGAGTTGCAAGCCTTTGGAAAGGAACCTCAACCCAAGAAGACAGGGGGGTGCAAATACAAAGGACACACCCATCTTAGTCCTGCCCCAGGACCTTTGCATGTTCTGTTGTCAACCAGAATCTCAGCTCTGCCCTCCAGAGCCTCCATTAACCAAATCTAAATTGGATGGTAGAATGTTTTCTTTTTGTGGGGTTGGTTTGTTTCTTTGAGACAGGTCTTTTTTAGATAGCCCAGACTGGCTCAAATGTTCTGTGAACCCCTGACCACGCCCCAGCTGGGGGGTTCTAGGTGGGGGCTCCACCTAGCCCCCGGTCTTTTGGCCTCTGAATCTCGCGCTGGGCAGCACTCGGTGGTGAGGACACACTTCATTCTCATGTTTTGTATGCCAACCCCAGGAATAGTTGAGCCCCAGGACAGTGGGACAGACTTCTGCTCCTGCAGAGGCCCCGAATTCCGGCTGTGGCATCTGGATGACTGAGGCCCGAGGCAGCTGGAGGCCTCCCAGCATCCCTCTCTCTCACTCGCAGCACATTTTCTCCCAGCACACATCCTTTGCAGCGCCCCCTCCCATTACAGAGGGGCACAGTTCCAGGTCAGACTCTTGTGACAGAGCCTGCACTGAGGCTCTGGGCTCTGGGAGAGGCTGAGCTGCGTGTCATGTTTCTGGATGCTGGGAAGTTGCTTTACCCTCTGAGCCACATGGGACCAGGGTGTGGCCAACATGGCCTTTGAACCTGAGTTATTATATAGGCTGAAGCTACACAGTGAGTTTAGGGTTGGAGCCGGCCTGGGATAGCTGAAACCCGGGGTCAAGAATAAAAACAGCCAAAAAATAAAACAATTGAAAAAAAGAATAAATAGAGCCAAGACAGTTCAGTGAGTAACGGTGACTGCAGCCAAGCCTGAGGACCTCGGTCCCATCCCCAGCACCCAGGAAGGAGAAGGAGAGAACTGACTCCCACAAGTTGTCCTGTGACCGCCACATATGTGCTGTGGCGCCCACAAGTCTAAGAAGGAATTTGAATCATTTAATTACCTGATTGATTAATTAATTAATTAATTAGAGGCTGGAGAAACAGCTCAGTGGTCAGGGCCGTTTGCTGTTCTCCCACTGGACCTGAGTTCCGGTCCCACTGTCCGTTTCAGGTAGCTCACTGCCGAATAGAGCTAAAAATAAAAAGCATAGGTCTTTTTATAAAACTTTTTTAACTAATTGGGGAGGACGCAGGTTCAGCTAGGAACACCTCAAGATAAAACCCAAAGGCACGGAGAGGCTGAGCGGCAGCTCTCCAAGGCTGGCTGCACGGAAACCTGCCTTCCTCCCCAGCGCTGGCATTAAAGGCCTATGCCCCACTGCCCAGCTATGAAGTGTTAACCCCACACGGCTTGGGTGGCCCCCATCTTGCCTCCCTGGGTGGGGGACCCGGGTGTGGAAAGACACTGATACGCCCCGTCCTGCAGGTTCTGGCGGGCACCAAGGAGCTGGTGTCATCCACGGTGTCTGGGGCCCGAGAATTGGTATCCAATTCAGTGTCTAATGCAAAGGACACGGTGGCCACCCATGTCACGGGAGCAATGGATATGACCCGTGGGGCCGTGCAGAGCAGCGTGGACATGACCAAGTCGGCAGTGACCAGTAGTGTCCAGTCAGTCATGGGCTCCCGAGTGGGACAGATGGTGATTAGTGGCGTAGACACGATGCTGGTGAAATCAGAGGCCTGGGCAGACAACCGCTTGCCCCTGACGGACGCAGAGCTAGGTGAGTGTCCTTGCCCTGTCCCGTCCGGCCTCCAGCCTGGCCCCTGTCTCAAGTGCCTTAGCTTGGTCTTCCCGCAACTGAACCCAAGAGAACCCTTCCTCTGCCCACAAGTCCTCTGGCACATAGGTTCTATCTGTCCGCCATGTAGGTTCCGGGAATCAGACTCAGTCAGGCTTGGCAACAAGTACCGATACCCACTGAGCCATTTCTTGGTTCAAGGATGATCCTTCTGCTATGCCTCCCAAGTACTGACAGGTACACCACCCTGGCTTCCACAGAGGTCTCAGTTCCTCCTTAGCTGGCCCCAAGCCTGCAGCTCTGTGGCTTTTGAGTGGCTCATATTCCTCCAAAGCGAGACCAGTGCCCACTCCCAGCTGGCAGTGACCCTGGGGTGGGGTGGGGGCCAGACCTGGCTGCACCTCAGCAGACAGCAGGAGATGTTCACCTGGGAGAGGGTGGGGTGCAGGATGAGAGAGTAGGCAGGTGCCCCAAGTCAGGGGTGGTATGTGAAGAGGAAGCAAGGCTCTTAGAAGGCGGCTCCCGTCTGAGCAGCCTTGGATTTAACCGCTGCCCTCCAGATTCACCCCCGGCTGGGGGCGCCTGTCCTGTGGGATCTAAGGCAGCTTGTATGTAGTGCCAGGTAGGAACCAGCAGAGCCCTGTGGGGCCTAGGCGTGTAACCCAAGCAAGGTGGCCTAGCACGTGGGGGGCTGAGGCAGGAGCCTGGGCTGCAGACCATGACCCTGTCTCACAAGAATCAGCTTCAGGCTGGGGCTGGGTAGAGCCTTCACCTGGCACGCACGGGGGCCCTGGGTCCGGACCCCAGCACAGCAGCCAGCAGAGGTGGCACACACCAGTCACCCAGCACTTGGGAAGTGAAATACGAGAAGATTCCGCATTAGAGGCCTGCCCAGGGGGTGGTGGGGAGGAGGTGCACGCATTTAATCTCAGCACTTGGGGAGGCAGAGGCAGGTGGAGCTCAGTGACTTCACAAAGAAGCCCTGTCTCAAAAAAAAAAAAAGAAGTTGGAGGCCAGCCTGAGTCTTTGCCACCCGATCCAGTTGGGGCCAGTTGAGCGGCCTGCCTGTCCTCCCTGTGTCCTCCAGCTCTGTCCTGGGCTCCCTGCCCTGCGCTGGCTTAAAGCACAAAGCCCCTTTCACTTTCCCGGGTCTAGTCCCAGCTTCAGGAGAACTGCCAAATAGCAGCTGTCCTGGACCAAAAACTAGCTGATTTGGAAAATACGCCATGTAAGAAGTGGGAAGGGGAAAAAAAAATTTTTTTCCAAAATATAGGATTTTGTCTGGTATGATGGTATGCAATCCCAGCACTCAGGAGGCAGAGGCAGGCAGGTGTACATGAGTTTGATTCCAGCCTGGGCTGCAAAGCAGGTTCTAGGCCGGCTAGGGCTACCCAGTGAGACCCTGTCTTAAAAACCAAATAAAACGAAAAGCCCCAGGATTTGGCTTCGTGGCTCTGAGTGTCCTGAAGGTCTCTCACTGAGCGTGTGTCATGGCAGAGGTCACAGGGCGGCCACTCACAGACTTGGCTAAGCTGGCTGGCCAGGGGCCTCGACCTGCCCGTCCTGTCTCCTCCCAGTGCTGGGATTACAATCCTGGCCCACCACCTGGTTTTCAAGTTTTTAAAAATACACGTCTTTCTTTCTTTCTTTTCTTTTCTTTTTTGTTTTTCTTTTACACAGGGCTTTACTGTGTCACCTTGGCTCTCCTAGACTGGCTTTAGAGTCCAGGCTGGCCTCAAATTCACAGAGACTTGCCTGCCTCTGTCTCCCTGCATGTGCTGAGATTACAGGTGTGCACCACCGCCCCAGCTTAAAGGTAGATTTCATTTTAATCGTAAGAGATGTGCCTGTGTCAGGTGCACGGGAGGGGGGGTCAGGCAGAGTGACATCTGTGTCCTCCAGTCGGCGGGGGCCTGGAACTCGCCTTCCAGATAGAGAACAGGGTTCCATTGCTCTCAGGGGCAGCTGGGGTGCTTTAGGGGAGAATCCAGTGCAGTAAGCTGGGGTGGTTAAAGGTTTCCCACAGAGTTCTAATTTAGCTCTTTCAGAATGAGATTGCCAGGGGCAATGGAAGCTCCCGAGTTCCAAAGCCTTCGGTGGTACCAAAGGGTTACAGCCGTTGGTCAAGCTGCTGTGCAGAGTCCGGCAGAGATGCGGGCCAAGGTCCGTGCCTGGTGGGCTTGTGGCCATGATACAGGCCTCCGTATACTATCAGTGACAAATCTCAGGGTCTGCAAGTGAGAAAGTGTGTACCTTAATTCATGTGAAATCAAGGCCGCATAAACCCTCGGCAGGCAGAGATTGCAGGGGTGAGTGTGTTTTATTTGCTGGGGTCAGGGGGTCGGAGATACTTAATGTCCTGTCACAAGAAGGAGAACGCAGTACTTAATTATCCTAAGGTGAGGGGAAATCTCCAAGTACAGTTGAAGGTCACTGAGACTAAGATCTCCTCAGGGAGGGACGTTTCTAGGAATTCCTAGTTGCTTGCTAGAGCAGTTTCCTCGTCAGGGAAGGGTCTGCCTGATGGAGTCTGCCCTGGTCTTACAGGACCTGGAGTCACCCAGATCAGTGGAGGCTTTTGGAACCCCACTGAGAGAGGGGAGTGTGGTCATAATACACCAAGTGCAAAGAAATGGCTATCCGGAGATGTCAACCTTATCCAGCAGAGCCCCTCACTTCTGGTAGTCGGTGTCTCCTACCTGGGAGCCTCAGGTTGAACTTGGGTCCTCAGACTCCGTGCAAGGACCTTGACCTGCTCTGCCATCTTGCTTTCCCAGTCCTATGGATGAACCTCTCTACAGCTGCTCTCCCGTCGGCCCCCTTCTTTCTCTTCCTTCTGAGACAAGATCTCTGGTAGCTTGGGTTGCCAGAGACTTGCAGTCCTCCTGCCTCAGCGTCCCAGATGCCCCGAGGAGAGCGTGCCCTGGGGAATGTGGGCCTGACTAGGCTCTCCCTCTGTCCCTGCAGCCCTGATCGCCACATCCCCGGAGGGCCTGGATATGGCCTCGCTGCAGCAGCAGAGACAGGAGCAGAACTACTTCGTGCGGCTGGGCTCACTGTCTGAGAGGCTGCGTCACCATGCCTATGAGCACTCACTGGGCAAGCTCCGCAACGCCAGGCAGCATGCACACGAGGCTCTGCAGCAGCTCACACATGCCCTCAGCCTGGTGAGCCGGGGGCCGGGGGGGCACGGCCCCTTCCTGCAGCTCCCCTCCCTGAGCTGGGATCTCACCCAGGAGCAGGTGGCTGGGCTGGTTCTTGGCTGGCTTCCTGTGGTGGGTTGTATTGGTCAGCTCAGGCTGTGTAACAAAGTGTACTGCCTGGAGACTAAACCAGAAACATTCTTTGTCCGACCCTGTAGGAGGCTGAAGTTTATTGAGACAGATGAGTTTCTGACTTCAGTGTGTGAGCCCGGGATGTCCTGATCTAGACTGTTCCAGGGTGTGTGAGGCCTGAGCCTCTGTTTCTCTACGTGACTGGCTGACTGGCTAGGGACGCTGATGGCTGGGCCCTTGGGCCAGTAAGAGCAGCTAAGGTCCATGTCTACTACTGCAGCTTATTCTCCTAAAGCTGATGGTGGTAGCTGGTGGATCCATGCTCAGCACCGCCCAAGGGGAAAGATAAAAGGTGTGGGACCATCCCCATTCCGGCTGTGCGCCAGGACAGGGCCTCCCTTTGCTACAGCCCCCGCCCTTTCTCTGGCTGCAGATGGAATGTGTGAAACAGGGTGTGGACCAGAGGCTTGGGGAAGGGCAGGAGAAGCTGCAGCAGATGTGGCTCAGCTGGAATCAGAAGACCCCTCAGGATGCCGGAAAGGACCCAGCTAAGCCAGAGGTACGCGCTGGGGGCGCTGGGGGCGCCGGGGGCACCTTGTGTGTCTCTGCCCTGTTCTTCACACCATGCTCTCTGTCCCTGGGCGACTGCAGGATCCATGCTTTACAGGAGTATCTTGTTTTGGCTTTGGTTTTTAATTTTTGTGTTTTTATTGATATTACTTGGGGGGATTGGTTTGGTTTAGCTTTGAGATGACAGCTGTATGACTAGCACGCCTGGCCTCTTAGTGTCCACATTATGGCTTGATTTGGGGGTTGTAACTTTCGGAGAGGGGTTGAGACAGGGTTTCTCTGTGTAGCCCTGGCCTTCCTGGACTCACTCTTGACCGCCTTTTTAGAGATCCACCTCCCTTGCCTCCCCAAGCGCTGGGATTACAGGGGTGCACCACCACACCCTGCCTTTCTTAACTTTTGCTGTTTGGCCTTTGACCACTTCTTAGTGGCTTTTGTCTCTTGAGTCTAGATTGCAGGAATCTTCCGGGGTCTCCCTACAAATCTTAACTGTTTTGAAAAGGTTATGGGAGCCGAATTCCTGTCCACCAGGCTGGGCTGGGGGCCCTGTCAGTCACCCCTGACCCTGCTCTTCCCTTCCAGCAGGTGGAGGCCCGGGCGCTCAGCATGGTGAGAGACATCGCCCAGCAGCTGCAGGGCACGATTGAGGCGCTGGGCACCAGCATACAGGGCCTGCCCAGCCATATCAGGGAGCAGGCACAGCAGGCACGCAGCCAGGTGGATGACCTTCAGGCCACCTTCTCCAGCATTCACTCTCTCCAGGATCTCACAGCCAGCGTACTTGCCCAGACCCGGGAGCGAATAGCCAGAGCCCGAGAGGCCCTTGACCACACTGTGGAGTACGTGGCCCAGAACACTCCAGTCACGTGGTTGGTGGGTCCCTTCGCTCCTGGAATCACTGAGAAAGCCCCGGAAGAGAAGAAGTAGGGAGAGGGATCAGGGCCAGCACCTGGATTGAGTCTGCTTTCCCCAATAGTCCTATTGCATAGCAGGTCCTCACCCGCTCTGAATCTGAAGGAGAGCTATGTTTAACCTTTTTTGTCAGTCTTTTAAAGCAACAGTATTTTTTTCTAGAATGTTCCAGGGGGAAAAATTCTAGAATGTTCTAGGAAAAAAAAAATATATATATATATATATATAAAATATATATATATAAAATATATATATATATATATATTTTTTTTTTCTATAAAAGAAAAAAAATCCAAGTAACCAGTAGTGATGGAACCCTAAGCCAGCACTGTGGTGGTAGAGGCAGGAGGATCAGGAGTTGAAAGCTGAGCTGCTGCATAGCAAACTTAGTGACAGGCTAAGCTACATAAGACCTTGTCTTGAAGTAAGTCAGGGCACAGTGATACTCTGTTCCGGTTCCTTTCCTACATCATGGCACACGATAGTAAGGCCTTTTCTAACAGACCCTGATACCTGATCCAAGAAGCCAGTCGGTGACAGGGTGGACAGGAAGTGGCTGAGGGCTGAGTGTCCTCTGTTTTCAGATCCTGGGGCTCAATATTGTCCTAATAAATTTTCCATGCATCAGAGATCAGTGTGTGTGTTCCTTTCCCTCAGCTGAGCCGCCCTCGCGTCCCTGCGCCGCCTTCAGTCTCTGCCTTGTGTTTAGTGCCTGTCTCCTCACCTTGAAGGCCGGAGGTGACCACTGTGACAAGGAGGGACCCATTGCTGCTTTCCCTCCACTGCACTTTCTGTGAGGTATGAGGGAGGGCCGGTGTGGCCTATGGAACTCCACCTGCCAGACATGCCCATGTCTGTTCCCCCTACTCAAGGTCCTCCCAGCACTCAGGAGCAGGAGTTGAAGGTCATCCTTGTCTACAAAGTAAGCTTGAAGCTAGCCTGAGATACATGAAATCCTGTCCAAACAGCAAAAGTCCAGCAGGAGAGATGGTTCCAATGGTGGAGTGTTTGGGAGTCTGACCAAGAAAAGCATCTGAAAAAAAGAAAAGAAAAGCGTCTGATGTCAACCTCTGACCTCCACAAACATGTACTTATACAGGAACACAAAGGCCATCCTGATACCTGCTCCGATGTCCAGAGCCTTGGAGACATGTTCTGTGACATAAGCCAGATACTCCTGCCTAGAATCCCCCAGTGAGAGGGCGTGGCCAGCTCATTTGTCCATCCCACCTCCCAGCCCTGGTCCCTGTAAACTGCTTTTACTTTTCTGTTTTCACAGTTTAGTTTCATCGGTTTCAAAACATGCCTGTAATCTAACCGTCTAGGAGGGGAAGCCAGAAGGACTGCCCCCAGTTCCAGGATAGCTGGATGTCCACACACAGACCACATCTCAACATGCCAAATACCGAAAGCTCTTTCAACAAATTTTACTTGTGTCCTTGTGGCGGCTGAGCAAGTGGAGGTGCTTGCTGTTTTTTGCTCTGCACGCACACACAAAATAAATAAACAAAACTTTAAAGATATTCTCAACTGCTGGGAATGGTGGCACATGTCTTTACTCCCAGCACTTTGGAACAGAGGCAGTTGGATCTCTGAGTTCAAGGCCAGCATGGTCTACAGAGGGAGTTCCTGGACAGCAGGGCTACACAGAGAAACCCTATCTCAGAAAGACAAACCAAAGCAAACCTCAACCAAATAGATTTCCTTGTAGTCTCTAGCCCTTTTGTTTGTTTATCATGGTTTTGTTTGTTTGTTTGTTTTGAGATGGGTTTTGTTTTGCTGGGTCAGGTTGGCTTGGAACTCAGGGCATTTCCACCTGCCTCAGCTTCCTGTGTGCTGGACTGATACATAAGTCACCAAGATCCTTGTGAATTTAGCCACATGGTGCTTTGCAAATACCCAGAGTATGTGGAATTGAGGTCTGTGGCCGAGAGCTCCTCAGTCTTGGGGGGCGGGAGGGTGTCCTCGGCTCTGAAGAAATAGGAGCCCTGCCCTGCTCCACGTGGCATGGTAGCACTAGGCGGAGAGCAGGGCCTGGCTTGGGGCTCCCTGGGGACTTTCCCCTCTGGGGCGGGACTTTGCTGACTTCATTCTCTCACACAGGAAGGGAGGAAGGGGTGGAACCAACCATTCCCTCCTCCTCTTCTCCCTCCTGTTACTCTAAAGGTCGGGCCACCGGGACCTCGAGATCCACCAGCCCAGGACCCGCACAGCCAGGTAGGATGAAGGAAAGCGGGACAGGACAGCGCAGGGAGGGCCCTTTGCAGCCTGGCTGGCATGCTGGGCGGCCACCCGCAGGCCAGCTGCTTCCTGGAGCTGCTTCCTATGGACACTCAGATCCCAAGTCCAACCTCTGACCCAACCCCAGCCCTGTGATCCTGAGTGCCCGCTCAGCCCCCAGTGCTCCCTCCCCCCAGATCCCTAGATCTTCCAACCCCCAGGTCTCCGGCCCCAACATGGAACCCTCACCCCCACCCCCTCTCGTCTCCGTTTTTCTTGACCAGATCTGCTTTCTCTACCTCAGAGTCTCCTGTTAAAACCCCTGTCCCCAGGCCAGCACATTACTACCTGTGGAAAATGGTCTGCTTCAGCTTCCGCAGCCCAGCTCCCTTCCTGGCCCAACACATGTAGCTGGGTCAGCCTGGGAACCAACCGCTCCAAGTTCCCTAGCAGCACTCAGTCAGCAGAGGCTGGGGGAAGGGCGACCTGGGCCACAGAGACTGGTCAGTTCTGCCAGGGGGGAGAAGGCCGACCAAGAAAGAGAGGGAGGCCCATTCGTACCCCCGTCCACCCACAAACCCATCCACCCAGCCATCCATTCGGCCACCCAGCAGCCTGGTTTCTGCTGTGCTGGACATAGAGCATAGGGCATGCTGGATAAACACTCTACCCACTGAGCGCCTCCTCCCTCCTTCCCTCTCCCTCTCTCAAAAATAATTACTTTCATTTTGTGTCATTTACATTATTTATTTGTCTCTTGAGATAGGGTCTCGCTATGCAGACCAGGCTGACCTGGAACTCACCTAGGCTGACCCAGAACTCTAGCACTCAAGAAATCCTCCTGCTGCCAGGTGGTGGTGGCACCCACCTTTACCCAGCCCTGGAGAGGCAAAGGCAGGCAGAGCTCTCTTTTTTGTTTGTTTTTTTGTAGTTGTTTTTGAGGCAGGGTTTCTCTGTGTAGCCCTGGTTGTACGGAAACTCACTCTATAGACCAGGCTGGCTTTGAACTCAGAGATCAGCCTGCTTCTGCCTCCTAAGTGCTGGGATTAAAGGTGTGTGCCACTACTGCCCTGCTGAGGCAGGCAGATCTCTGAGTTCGAAGCCAGCCTGGTTTATAGATGGAGTTCCAGGACAGCCAGGGCTACACAGAGAAGCCCTGCCTTGTAAAACAAAAAACACAAACAACAACAAAGAAAGAAAGAAGAAAACCTCCAGCTTTTTTCTTAAGATTTATTTATTTATTTATTTATTTATTTATTTATTGTGTATACAGTGTTCTGCCTGCATGTACACCTGCAAGCCAGGAGAGGGCACCAGATCTCATCATAGATGGTTGTGAGCCACCATGTGGTTGCTGGGAATTGAACTCATGACCTCTGAAGAGCAGCCAGTGCTCTTAACCTGTGAGCTATTGCTCCAGTCACCCCCCACCCCTTTATTTTTTGGTTTTTCAAAACAGGGTTTCTCTGTGTACACGTGGTTGTCCTGGACTCACTTAGTAGACCAGGCTGGCCTCAAACTCACAGAGATCCACCAGTCTCTGCCTCCCCAAGTGGAGTGGAGTGCTGGGATTACAGGTGTGAGGCCATTGCACCCAGCCTGCCTCAGCTTTTCAAGTAGCTTGGACAAGAAGAAAGTGCCACCCTTGGGTGGTGGAGGTAGGAGGATCAGAAGTTTAAGGTTATTCCCTGCTACATAGTGCAAAAGGCCTGATCCTGTCTCAGCAACAAAAGCCTAGCAAAGCCGTATGCTGGGCACCCTGCTCTATTTTGTCTGCTCACTGATTAACTGTGTCAATAAAATTCCTCCTGCCTCTCTCCTCTCTCTGCTCCTGTCTCCTTACTACCCCAACTTGCTCCGATCCTCCTGTGTGTCCTGGGGCCTTTGTACTCACAGAGCTCTGTTCTGAGGAAACTCTGAATTAGCTCACCTTCAGGGGCTCAGCGATGCCCTCCTTTGGGCAGCCCCCACCCCGGATCCCTCTCAGGCTCATTTCCTCCAGGTCACTTTTATTTCTTGAAACGATCTTAGGTGGTGGTTCTCATTTCCTGTCACCCTGCTGTAGCATCCGCCACGCCAGCCCCCAGACACAGTCAGGTGCTCGGGAAATGTTCCGAATCTGAAGAGAGTGCACAGCTGTGAGGTGAGGACACAGGTAGACCATCTAAGACGTGGCGAGGAGGTTTTTGGTGTGGTGAAGTCAGGGCTTACTCGGTAGGGCTGTGCCCTCTGCCCTGGGGCTTTTGGATGAGCTGTCCTCCTGGGAGCACTCTCCTCAGATCTGCAGACACAAGCCTTAATCCTTGGAGTTCTTGACTCTCCTTTGAGCTGAGCTCTGAGGGGCAGCTGACCGCTGTGGACATCATTTCTCTGTCTGCTGGGTCTTAGCTTTTGTTTTGTTTTGTCACAGTCTCTGCACTTCCACACCTGATTGCTGCCATTTCCCAGCAGCCACAGGGAGGGTGGTGGTCCTGCCTCTTCTGCTCCCGGTCTGCCATCTGCTGCCGCCATCCCCACCTGTGACCCTGCCCTGGCTATGGCCCTGGCCCTTCCCTCTGTCTATCTAGCTCCCTTGACCTTGGTCCTGGGCCCGGCTCAAAGTCCTGTCTTCCAAAGGCTTTTAGGCCATCTGTGTGCAGAGTCTGTGGGTTAACTGACCAAAACGTCCACTTCTGCTCCAGACAAAGGTCCTTCCTGGGTATCCTGGATATGTATGTGCCAGGTCATCCTCTGTGGGGCATTGTGGGCCCTGCAGCTTCCCTGGCCTCCACCCACTCCGTGTCAGGGCTCTCCAATCACTGCAGCCACGCAGGCCCCTCACTGCGTGAGTGGGACGGGCAGTACGCCCCATCCCCGCCCAGCTGTAGAGGCAGGACAAGGGTCAGGGGCCCCAGGGTTTCCCGGCTGAGTGACAAGGGTGGGCTGCCCACCTGAGGGTCACCACGAGCATCTTGTGAGTCATAGGAACTTTGCTCCAGCTCAGGCAGGCACTCACCCACGCCTAGTCTATGCAGCGCTGGGCATGGAACCTGCCCCTCCGTGAATGCTCAGGCAGCACTCTCCCTGCCCACTGACCCCAGCACTCCTGCTGATTGGGAGACATGTCCCTATACAGGCTGGCTGGCCTGGAACTCACAGAGATCCCCCTGCCTCTGCTTCCCAGTGCTGGGACTACAGGGGTGCACCGTCTTGTTTGGAAAGTCACAGTGAACTCCCACTTGTGCAGGTCTGCGGTGTCACTCCCCGGGACTCCATGCAGCAGGGGACACGGCTGTGCGGGAGGCTGCTGGTCCGGATCATGTCTCCACCCACCCCAGCCTCTGAGCTTCCAGCCTTCATCCTCCCCCATCCATGGCTGACTCGGGCCCATCACTCCATGGTGTCCTTGACATTCTAGGAGCCTTGGAAAGGGACAGGCTAGCCTGCCTGAAACACAAGCTAGGGAGTCTACATCCGGGCAGCCAGGAGTCCAAGCTTCTCCGAGCCATGGTACTCTTGGTTCTGGGCCAGGACACGGAGGCCAGGATCTTTCTGGAGTCCTTGAAGACAGACACAGTGGCCCAGCTGGTAGCCCACCGGTGGGCAGGCTCGGATAGCACAGAGGGCCCTGAGGAGCCTTCAGACTTGTCCTGGACAGTGGCTCGCCTGTACCACCTGCTGGCTGAGGAGAACCTGTGTCCAGCCTCCACAAGGGACGTGGCTTACCAGGTGGCCCTTCGTGACCTTGCCTCCCGGGGTGACCACCAGTTGGGCCAACTCCAGAACGAGGCCTGGGATCGCTGCAGTTCAGCTATCATGGAGGACCCCGGTGGCTTCCAGCCACTCCATTCTGATCAAGGTCCCCTGCCACCACCTTCAGCAGCTCATTCAGTAACCAGGAGCCAGCCTCGTCCCATTGACACGTCAGACTGGAGCCGGGGACGTTCTCTGCATTCTGCAGGCAGTGTCGCCTCACTGGCCAGCCACTTCGAGATCAGCCAGTCACCCACTCTCCTCTTCCTCTCTCCACACCGTGGGTCCCAGGGGCGCAGCAAGCTGTGTGACACAGCCCTGGGCACACCGGAGGCTCAGCTTGCCCCCGCAGGCTGCCAGGAACCTGAGGAGGCGAGCTGGCCCTCCTCAGTGGAGACTACTGCCTCCTTGGGGTCGCCACCCAGAACAGGGGTTCCAGGGATGTCTCCAGAGGTGGCTTCGGCCATCCTCCCTGACTCCCCGGCTGCTCCAGACATGGGTGTCCACAGCCCTATTGAATGCTCGGAGGTGTCTGCAGACTCGGAGTCTCCCGTGACATCCACCACGGAGGGTGTTAGGACGCAGTCTATCTCAAGTCAGAAGACACCTCAGGTTTCTGTGGGAGATGATGCTCCGCAGAATGCCACGGCCAGCCCCTCTGCCCAGCCCCCAGCCCCCCAAGCCTCCCCTATGCTGTCTCCTTCCCCTCTGTCCTCCACGTCCTCCTCCAGCAGCTGCCCTGCCCCACCAGGCTCCACAGCCCCTGTTCTGGGCCACTCCGAAATATCTGAGCAGAAATTCTATAACTTTGTGGTTATCCACTCCAGAGCTGATGAACACGTGGCCCTACGTATCCGGGAGAAACTGGAGACCCTTGGTGTGCCTGATGGGGCCACCTTCTGTGAGGAGTTTCAGGTGCCTGGACGTGGGGAGCTGCACTGTCTCCAAGATGCCATTGACCACTCGGGGTTCATGATCCTGCTCCTGACTGCCAGCTTCGACTGTCGCCTCAGCCTGCACCAAGTCAACCACACTCTCATGAACAGCCTCACGCAGTTGGGAAGGCAGGACTGTGTGATCCCCCTCCTCCCGATCGAGTGCTCCAGGGCCCAGCTCAGCCCCAACACCACCAGCTTGCTCCGCAGCCTCGTGTGGCTGGATGAACACTCTCCAATATTTGCCAGGAAGGTGGCGAACACCTTCAAACCACAGAAGCTCCAGTCACACCGGCTACGCTGGAAGAAAGAGCAGGAGGCCAGAGCCCTCAAGGAGCAGAGGACACAGCTGGAGGCCCAGCGGCGAAGAGTGGCCGCCACTTCTGCCGCCTACACAGCCTACTTCCACAGTTACAAGGCCTGGCAAGAGGAGATGAATAGACTAGGGGTGGCCTTTGGGAAGGACTTGTCACTTGGGGCCCCCACACCCTTCCCCAGTTGGCCAGGTTGTTCACAGCCAATACCTTCACATCCACAGCAGGGTGGGACCCCAGTTTTCCCCAATTTTCTGCAGCCTCTATCTTTCCCACAGCCTGCGTCTTTCCCGCAGCCTCCATCTTTCCCGCAGTCTCCATCTTTCCCGGAGCCGACTTTCCCGCAGCCTCCATCTTTTCCGCAGCCCACAACTTTCCCGCAGCCCTCATCTTTCCCACAACCCGCATCTTTCCCGCAGCCTCCATCTTTCCCACAGCCCACGTCTTTCCCGCAGCCTCCATCTCCCCCAAGTTCCCAATCCTTCCCAGCAGCTTTCTCCCCAGGCCCCCAGACCCCAGGACCTCAGCCTCTCATAATTCACCATGCCCAGATGGTTCAGCTGGGGGTCAACAACCACATGTGGGGCCAGACTGGGGCCCAGTCGTCCAGTGACAAGCCCGAGTGTTTGGAGGAGCTCTGCCCGGGCCTTCTGAGTGACCAGGGGGCACCCCTTCACGAGACTCCAGAGTGACCATATTGGAGCCCACCTGGATTCCTAAAGTGACCAGCTTGGTCCCCACTTCTGCTAAAGTGGCTAGGTTGGAATTCACCTGGGCCCTAAAGTGATACTGGGGAAGGGGACCTCACCTAGGCCCCACAGTAGCCATGAACTGGATGCAGCTTGGTACACCAGAGGCAGGGAAGATGCCACCTGTAAACCATGGCCTGGGAAACATGCAGAACCCCCACTGAACACTGGACAGGACTCTGTGGGACCCCAACCTGCATTCCCTAGGTGGACAGCGGATGGTGGGGCCGTAGGCTCCTCTGAGGCGCTGACCACAGGGTCTCTCTGGGGAGGATGTGCCCCAGCAGCACATGGAGAAGGTCCTGTTTTTATAGTAACAAAGTTATTGTGTCACAAGCCAGCGGCCCTGCCTCCACCACCCTCAGCAAAAAAGTGGAATCAGAAGGGAGGCTTGCCAGCCCGGTCCTTCAGTAGCAGGAACCGGAAATTATGTAAATATATTCTCATCCCATTGGTGAGCGTAGGCCACGTGGCCTTCTGGTGCAAGACACGGAGGGAAATGTAGTCCTTGAAAGGGGACAGCGGTGCTATCTCAGGAACTCTTGTGATGTCAGGGAAGGAGGAGACAGACACCAGGGAGTTTGTAGCGGTTTTGTTTCTGTGGGCTTATTTATGTTCTGCATTTGTGCCAGGGCATGGGGGGAGGGTCAGAGGACAATTTACAAGCGCTGGTCCTCTTCCTCCATGCCAGTCCTCCCCCACCAGACACTGCCCTTATATATTAAAAAATGTTTTCCACATTTGTTCTGGCAGATTTTGCTACAACTGGTGTGAGCGTGTGGTGGAGTTCAGCCAAGGCTGTGTGACCCTGAATCTTTGACTCTGTCCTTTCATCTCAACTTATTTACTGATTTCCTATCTTTTATAGATTTATTATTATTATTTTGGTTGTTCAAGACAGGGTTTCTCTGTGTAGCCCTGGCTGTCCTGGACTCACTCTGTAAGCCAGACTGGCCTCAAACTCAGAGTCTCCTGCCTCTGCCTCCCAAGTGCTGGGAACAAAGGGGCGTGCCACCACCCCCCAGTTTGGTTTTGACACAGAGTCCCTTTTACAGCAGATTGGCCCTGAACTCAATGAGTAGCCAAAGATGACCTTGAAGCTCTGTCCCTCCTCCTGCCTCTACCCCCAACTGCTGGGTTGATATGGTACTCGGCACTTGGGCAACTGGGGTTCGTGCACGCTGGGCAAACGCTCTCTTCGTTGAGTCCCGGCCCCTTCTCAGGATTTTAATGTGCCCACACATTTCAACCCTCCAAACAAGCCTCTGCTAAATGTGGACTCATTCTCCAGATGGGGAAAACCAAGGCCCAACACTGACTTCTGGCCCCCAACATCGCTCTACTTAGAACTGAGGAGAGTGTGATGCAAAAAGCCAACTGTGCACCCCTCCCACAAAGAGCCGACGCTGCGGGCTGCTCCAGGCCTCTCCTGAGCTGCCAGGGGCGGGATGAGTCAGCTGGCCCGCTTGCACACTTATTTTAGTCTCTGAGTCAGACCCTGTCAGAGCTGTTCTGTGCATGACGGACCTGAAGTGAAACCCGGCATCGCAGTTCTGAGCTTCCTTGGGGGCGGGGATGCAAATGAAGTCCTCTGACCTATTATGTGTGGGACTGTCCAGGTTGCTGGGGTGCAGTGGTAGGGGGCCAGGTGCTGGGCTCGTGGCTATGGGGTTGGAGAAGTGTAAAAGGAGGCATCAGTGAGGGAAGCAGGGGACTTGGGGAAACTGAAGGGTCATGGAATAAGCAAGTGCTAGCGCATGTCTGCCTGCGTGGGCGGACAGCACAGCACAGCTTAGCACAGGCCCTGGGTGTGGACAGCCTGGCGTGTCAGGGAAACGGGAGGAGGCAAGGGAGACAAGCCAGAGAAGGGCAGGGAGCAGCCGGTCAATCCATTTCCCCTGGATCTGGGGATCTTGAGAGAGGGCTCAGCTGTAAAGGCAGTTGCCCTGGGGCCTCATGACCTGAGTTTGCTCAGCCGGAGCCATACATTGGAAGGGGAGAAGTGATTCCTGCAAGCTGTCCTTAAGACCTTCGCAGTCACACACCCACCATAAACCAACGACCATAATCTAATCATCTGGGCACTCGGGAGGCAGAGAAAAGATCAAGAATCCAAGGCCAACCTCAGCTACTTAACAAGTTTGAAGCTAGCCTGGGTTATGGGAGACCCTGTCTCAAGTCAAAAAGCAATGTCTTTCAACATTTTCCCTTCTCAATTTTGTTTGTGCTGTTGGCTAGTGCTCTACTTCTGAGCCACTATTTAGTACCTGCTGTGTGCAGACCTATGCTGGGCCCTGGGGCACAGAGGCCGTATTTGTTCAGCTATTGGACAAGCAGCCCAGGGCTGTGATGGGCAAGAGCTGGTGGGTGGAGCCATTAAAGGAAGCTTCTGGAAGGAAGAAGCATCTGAGGCGGGCGTGGGAACCACGGCTGAGCACCACGTGCGCACCAGGGTCCCCAGTCTGAGGCTCCCCGTGTCAGCCTCAGCTGGGCATGTGGGCCTCAGCCCGGTGTGTCGCCACCAAGCTGGGAATTCAGAAGGTCATCTCTGCTCACAGCCTTTCCTGACTTTTATGAGGGATGGCGGGCACAGAGTCTATGTAGCCCTGGCTGTTCTGTAACTCACTATGTAGAACAAGCTAACCTTGAACTCATGGAGATCTGCCTACCTCTACCTTCGGAGCACGGGGGTTCATGCTGGATGTTCTTAAAGAATTTTGGTTTTACAAATGTTCTCTCAAGCCCAGTCATATTTTGCATGTGTGGCTGGGTTCTGACTGGGATAGGGTGTCACTGTGTTCACATTTCACGTGTGAACATATGTCAGTCCTCTCTTTCTGGGGTCAAACTCAGGGGGTAAGGCTTGGTGGCTTTAGGTGTGTCCCAACGCAGGCTGCAGAGGGGTCTCTGGACTTGCATGCTTATGTTTGTAGATGGCTGGGGTGAGCCGAGGAGCAGGAGACTGCTCTTCTGCAGCTCGTTCTAGAAGGATCTGGCAACCTCTGTTCCTGGGCCTGTAGCTCACTGCTGGGCGGAGTCCAAGGTTACCATGACTGGCTCTAGCCAGCCCCGTGTGTACTATTCAGGGAACTGAAAGAAGGAAGTGGCACCATTTCCCGAGGCCCTCCTGGCTTCTGCCCATGCTGGGGTCCAGCAGGTTCCGATTTGAAAAGGATTCCATGAAGCCCTGGGTGAAGAGGCCACTACTCAGAGGGAATGTGCTGCTGAAGGTCGCTGTGCCCCTGCGCAGTCTTCTCCCAGCGGGTTTCCTCCTGGCCGGGGTGTGCCTCTGGGCCTTTGGGACCGGAAGGCTCTCCCCCACTTCCTCTTAAACCTCCTCAGGATTTTGCTCAAATCTAAGCTCTTGGAGCTTGAGGGACAGCTCAGTGGTTAGAGCACTGGCTGCTTGGGTCACCCAACACCTTCTTCCTGCCTCTGTGACACAGACACACATGCATGCAAAATGCCCATAAAAGTATATAATATACATTATATATATATATATATATATATATGTATGTATATATATGGGCTGGAAAGAGGGCTCAGTGGTAAAGAGCACTGTCTGCTCTTCACAGGTCCTGAGTTCAATTTCAACACTCACTTGGTGGCTCCCAACCATCTATACCAGGGTCTGATGCCCTCTTCTGGCGTGCAGGCACACATGCAGGCAGACCATATATATATAATATAGATATAGACCATATATATAATAAATAAATCTTTAAAATACACACACACATATGTGTATGTATATATGTATGTATGCATGATATATACATGGGTCTTCCTAGGGCATTTCTAGCCACCTCTTTTAAAACCCATTTCCTTGGGGCCGGGGATGACTCAGTGAGTAAACTGCCTGCTGTACAAGAGGACTTGAGTTTGATCCTAGAACATGAATTAGACAGCTGCTGTTTGCTCCCAGTACTGGGGGGACAGGGTCAGTGAAAGCAGTTCAAAACCAACCATGGCCACTAGAGGGCTCGGGCGGCAAAGCCTGTTGAGTTCAATCCCAAGTACCCCACAGTGTGGAAGGAGGGCACCAATTCCTCAGAGCTGTCCTGCGCTCCACACACACTTGTGCAGGCACGCAAAACCACAACAAACCATCAAAAAGCCAATGAGAGCGGCTCCTGACACACTGACGCTCCTGGACTCCTCTAACACGTGCCTGCTCACACCATCTGTGTTAAGCACCCACTCTAAGCCGGATGTGGTGGCGAACGCCTGTGATTCCCGAACTCTGGAGGCAGAGGCAGGCGGATCTCTGTCAGTTCAAAGCCAGCCTGGTTTATAAAGCGAGTCCAGGACGGCCAAGGCTACACAGAGGAACCCTATCTAGGGGCGGGGAGGCACCTACTGTATGCCAAGGACATGGTTTCCTGCCTTCACCTTTCTGAGGTCAGAGCTCTACTCAGCAGTGTTGGGGATGCTGAGAACACTGTGGGAGCCTGGGGCATCCGGGTCCACCAGGGGCAGCTCCTAGAGAGGAGGACGAAGAGGCTCTAAGGGGCCCAGGAAGCCGGTGTGTCTGTAGCATGGAAGGGAAGCACAGGTCAGGCCCCCAGTAGGCTGATCTCAGCTGTCAGACATGAAGCCAGGAACTCCATTTTCAGTGGAACAAGAGTCCAAGGTCAAGCCAGGAGTCATAGCACATGCAATACTTTAATCCCAGTGCTCAGGGAGGCAGAGGCAGGTAGATCACTGTGAGTTCAAGGCCAGCCTGGTCCACAAAGAGAGTCCGGGACAGCCAAGACTACACACAGAAACCCCGTCTAAAAATCAGATCAATAAAATGTCAGTTATGGTGAGTGTGAGTCTAACCTGGGCTACATGCCGGTTATGACACGTTAAGGAGTATGGAAGGGGGTTGGGGGTGCCAGGGCAGCGCTGTATTAAGCAGACCTTTTGAACAGGAGGCACCAAACGAGAGCACAGCCCAGCCTGGTGAGAATTTCAGCCTTGGGACGAAGACAGCAATAGCTGCCATCCAGATACCGTTTCTGGAAGGCTGAAGGTCATGATGCGCCTTCTGAATCTTGGGGCAGGGAAACTGAGGCACAGAGAGGGTTGAGTCAAGGTCCAAGATTGCAAGCTTGGACCAATGAGGGCAGTCTCCTACCAGATGCCAGGAGGGCTTTTATTTTTAGCCTGTCCTGTGGCCCAGTCCTTTAAGGAGCCCTGGGAGGCAGCCAGACTCCCAGGGAAGTGAAAAGGGGTTTTCTTTTCCCTGAAGACAGGCTCACCACTCCCACCACAGAGGCTCTCAGACCCCTTCCCAGATGTGAGCTGGTAAACACCCCCTTTCTAGGCTGGAATGCTGGTCAGTCCTACACCCACTTCCCTGTGGCTTCTGTACTGATCACGGATGCATCCCAGTCATCTACCATTACTAGGTTTTTCTTTAGGTAAGCTTTATAGTTTTTAGAAAGCATTTCTCTCCGGGCTTGGGGTGGGTCCCAGAGCTCCATGCTTACAAGTGCTTACTGTACCCCAGGCCTGAAATCAACTTCTGGGGGAACCTCTGGAAATGGGAATAATTGTACACCCAAGGATACCCTAAAAACCTGATTTGTAGGTATGAAAATAATCAGTTTTGTAAACTGAGCGTGATGGCACAAACCTGTGATCCCAGCACTCTATATAAGAGGCAGCCTGGGCTACACGAAACCCTGACTGAAAAGACGGAAAGCAAAGGGCTGGTGAGGTGGCTCAGTCAGTGGTTAACCCAAACATGACTGCCAGCACCCACATCAGGTGGCTCACATCCTCTGCAACCCCAGCTTCCGGTGGGTGGACTCTGCAGCTACTGCACTAACATGCAGCCTGCCTACACACACCACACACACACACACACACACACACACACACTCACCGCCACAAGCAATTGGCTGAGAAGGAAATAGCCTGGGGAGGCAGTGGTGTGAGACCCTGAGGGAGATCTGGGAAGGCTTCAGCAGGTCAGGTTCAGTCAAGCTCATTTGCTGTTTGTTGTTTGGTTTTGGTCCTTAAAGAGGGTCTCACTGTGTAGCCCTGGCTGTCCTGGAACTCACAGTTCCGCTTGCCTGTGGGGTGTAACAGTGTATCTGGTTCAAGCTCACATCCTGACAGGCTTTCACAAGTTCAGGCTGAGGGTGGGGAGCCCCACACAGTGGCACCTCAAAGGCGCAGGGCCAGGCCCACCTTCTCCTCTTCAGTCCAGCAAGTGCTGGCCACAGGCTCTGGCCCACACCTGCTGTGCTGTCAATCCACCTGTCATCCCCTCAGGCCCTCCGTTGAGCTGGCCGAGTGCCCAGTGAGGTAGTTCAGCGCTGAGCTATGTTTAACCTGGGGTCGGGACACTCCCTACCTAGAAATACCAGGCACTGGAGCAGCCCACAGGGACAGGCTGTGCCACTGCCCTGATCCGCATCAATGGAGACCAGAGAAGGCTCCAGACTCCAGCCAGGGGTAGGGGTGGGATGTGCCTCTGCTGAGGGGTTAACTGGAGTCTCCCAGATGGCAGGCACTTACCCGAGTCATGTCCCCTGCACTCCTCTTTCCTTTTGTTCTCTCTCAGTCGTTCTGGCTGTCCAGACATCATTAGACCAGGAGGACCTTGACCTCTGAGACACCCACCTGCCTCTGCCACCGCAGCCTCCTTCAGTCTTTAACTCTCCCCAGAAGTCCAACATTTGAGCACAGGGCCTCCGGGACAGCTGCTAACCAATCACCGCAGCCCGCTCCCAGGCTATTGTGACTGGCTGAGGGTGCACAAGTGGCACGGGCCTGTAGTTACAGGCGCCACGTGGTCAAGGCTGGGCGGAACCTGTGGGGGCTTCACAGGACGTCTGTTCTTTGATCCTGCTGATCCACCAGGGAGAACCCACTTCGGAGAGCCACCAGGACCTGCCAGATCAACCCTCCCGAAGAAATGTCCGCCAGAGCCAGGCGCCAGGCCGAACTTCCTAACTCTGACCTGTAAAGACACGGGGCTCAGATAACCGTTCCTCTTAAATTTGAGGTTGGCAGTCAGTGGTTCTGGAGGGACCCAAGACACAGATGCTCAGAGTGCTGAGGCAGAGGAATGGCTCTGGACATGTCACCTGCTGAGAGGAGGGTTTGAGGCTGACCATTTTTCACGTGTTCTGTGTTCCTACGCCCACCTTGCTCCACCTGATACCTGAATGGTAACAGCTGCTTCGAACCAGGTGGTACATTTGAGCACCTGGAGTGTAACAGGGCTCAGTAAATGCTCACCAGTGTCATACCTCATAGGAGATGACTTTGACAGGGCAGGGGTCTTGAAATGTTACCCTCGGGTTATGCGTGAACCCACACTCTTCTCCAGGATTGCCTCAACTTATGATCCCCTGTCTCAGCCTCGGAGGTGCTGAGACGACAGGTCTGTGCCACCACCCGCAGCTTGGCCACGTCAAATAACGGCTAGGCAGATTTCTTCACATACCTGCATTTTAATCCATAAACATCAGTGCCAAGACTCACAGTGCCAAACTCATGTTTGCCCTGAGCTTTGGCAGCGTGGCCCCAAGGCCCCGCCCAGTAAGGCTAAAGCTTGTTTTGGATGAAGAACAACCTACCTAACACTGCAATCACACACTGATGTGGTTTCAGGCCGAGTACAACTGGCCCCTCTACACTTGGCTTCTTTCCCTCGCAGCTGGTTCCCTCGGGCCAGGATGCTCACCTCCCACCTCGGCACGATCCAGGGTGAATCACTCATTTCGAGTGACAGGGACAAGAGCTGGTGGAGTCATAGGCAGTTGTTCAGTGGTGTTTTTGTGGTGCTAGGGCTGCACTCAGGACCCCATGTGGGCCACGCTGGTACCACATAGGTCCATCACAGCCCTGGCTGGCAGCTCCCCACCTTCCCCAGTCTTGGTGAGAAGCCCACTCCCAGCAGTTAGTGGGGATACTGGGGACCCCTCATGAAGACCCGGGTCAGTCCCTCAGGGAAGGTGAGACAGGATGAGTGTGGCACGAATGTGAAGCTGGTAGCCATAGCCTCTGCCAGGTCACCACAGCTGTAACCCAAAGCTGGAAACCGTGTCAGCCCATCCAACAGGGTGGGCCTGGAGGCACCGCTGTCTGCCTGGCTGTTGCTCCTGCCACTCACTCTGGGCCTTCTTGGGAAGGCCTCCTCTCTCTAAGCAGCACAGGAATGAGGCTTCCCAGGACCTCTGTCATAGATCTGCGCTCACAACTCATGCGGCTCTCAACTGTGGCCACTGCAAAGTCCCGGCAACTTCAAACTAAGTCATTACTAAGTCCGACACACAGAAACCAGAGAAAAAAAGACAGCGCCAGACCTCAGATTGTGGGCTCCAGGGTGCCACCCACCTGCTTCGGGACAAACCAACTGCAAACACCTAGGTGGTGGGTGCCCAGCGCGGGAGGAGCCAGCGACTGCTCACTGCACTTCCAGACTTCTGACCCCTTCCTGACAATGTTGGCTGCACAGGCCTGGGGCACAAGCTGGCTGGGGCTGGGTGACAGGGCAGACATCGTCAGGGAGAAAGACCATCTTCCTCCCATGTGACCCTTAAGGCTTCTAGAATCAACAGCTGGGCTCACTCCCCGAGATGCCTCTGCTTGGAGAAGGCCAAAGCGGACACTGGTGGCTGGTTCAGTGCAACTGGATGAAGGCCTCCAGCTCCTCTGGGATGAAGCCCTTATAAGGGACCTTGTTCCTGTCCAGGGCGCGGGCAGCCAGGCACTGCAGCGTCACATAATTGAAGGGCTGCACGGTGCTCTTGGCCAGCAGCTTCGAGTCCAGCAGCTCATAGGCAGTCTTCTTGAAAGCATTGGTGGCGTCCATGTGGGCCCCAGCTTCAATGAGTGCATCCATGATGGCTGGGCAGTTGTTCTGGGCAGCGATGTGCAGTGGGGTGTTGTTGTCAAAATCCCGGCTGTCAGGGTCAGCTCCGCAGTCCAACAGAACCTTGACCACGTGCAGCGAGGGGAAGACGCCCACACGGTAGCGGCCCACGTTGGTGGTCTCCTTGTCCACTGCCATGTGCAGTGGGGTAAAGCCGTTCTTGCCCCGGGGGGCACACTTGAGCAGGCGGTAGACTGTCTGGTGCTTGAGGTGTTCCTGGTTGGGGGTGCACTCCACTTTCTCCAGCAGATACAGCAGGTGGAGGATGATGGCAATGGCTTTGGTGAACTGTGCCGAGTCGCCTGGCTCCTTGGGCAGCTGCAGAGCCCGCTCCACTTCCCGAACCCCTTTGCTGAGCACACCCATGAGGTCGGCGAAGCCAAGCTGCATCCCCAGGTTGCCCTTGGCCGAGCGATCCTGCAGCACGTAGGAGAAAAGCTCTGCAAATGACAGGAAGCTGCTGGCAGTCATGGGGCTCAGGGGCTCCAGGTTGTTCTGTTGCATGTCCAAGGCATACTTCCACAGACGGATGCAGCGCTCGAAATTTCCGGAGTCCGCATAGACGGCACCCCGGTACCGTATGTAGTATGAAGTGTCAGGATGTGAGGGGCCCAGGATCCTCTCCCTTATCAGCAGGGCCTGCATCCGCATCTCATCCGGATCTGTGATGAGGGCCTCCAGCTCTTGGGGTGTGGTCACCTCCCTGGAATAGTCATAGGCCAGAACCAGCTGCTGGGGCTCTGGCTTGGGAAGGTAGTCCCCACCCTGGTGGCGGAGTTCCATAGCCCTTCTCCAGTGCTTCAGCGCTCCAAGCAGATCCCTTTTCTTATCCACATAGGTGGCGCCCAGCAGCTCCAAGGCTTCTACAGCTGCTTCCCGGCTAGTGGGGCAGCAGCTCTCGTAAGGTTCTGCTTCCTCCGGGGTGGCACAACGGCTGCCTGGCCCCAGGGAGGAAACTTCCCCGGGCAGCTCTGGCCCTGAGAGCTGTCCGTGGCCGGGCTGCTCCTGGATGAGGTACTCTACGATGTTGGTGTGTCCGGTGACGCTGGCGGCCAGCAGCGGGGTCATACCATATCCGTCGCGTTCCATGCGAGCATGGCAGCCCAGCAGCAGCTGCAGGATCTCCAGGCTGCCTGATTCGGCACAGTCGTGTAGGGCGGTGTTGCCCTTGGCGCTGCGTCGGTTCACCTGCGCGCCGCGCTCCAAGAGGTAGCGCGCGATCTCGCGGTGGCCCTTGTAGCAGGAGATCATGAGGCACGTGTGGCCGTGGCGGTTGGCTACCTCCAGGTCCGCCTTGTGCTCGCCCACCAGGTAGCGCACCACGTCCAGGTGGCCGTCGAAACAGGCGGCGCGCAGCGGCGTGGAGTTGGTGCGCGTGGTGCGGTTGACCGAGGCGCCTCGGCGCAGCAGGCTACGCACCACGGCCAGGTGGCCCGCTGCTGACGCTGCCCAGAGCGGCGGCGCGCCCTCGATAGTCTCGCCATCGAAGTGCACGGAGCCGCCCGCCTCTACGCTGGCGCCGCAGTGGTCCACCAGGTACTCTACCACGTCCAGGTGTCCGCGGCGCGCTGCGATGAGCAGCGGGGTGCCGCCGCCCGCCACCTCACCCAGCAGCTCGTCCAGCTCCTCGCGCCCGCGGCCCGCCAGCAGCTTCTGCAGCAACAGCAGCTTGCCGTCGTGCGCCGCATTGTACACTGCCGTGTGCAGGTCCATGCTGGAAGGCACGCTGCCGGCTCTAGCCGGGCCGCCGATCGCCGGAGACAACCTTCACCTTCTCCCCCGCTGCCATCTTAGCGGGCCTCCAGGAGGAACAAAATGGCCGCCGCTACGGGGCGCGGACGGAGTGTGCGCAGGCATGCTGGGAAATGGGGTCCCACGAGCGAGCGCCCGACAGGAGCTACCGGCAGATCAGAGGGGCAAAAAGACCACATTTCCCGAAAGGCATAGCGAGAGCTGACAGCCATCTGCGCCAAGCGAAGCCAATGGTCAGTGCGACCCTGGGAAATTTAGTGACGCACTTCCTGGTAGTGAGTATAAGGCGGAGCCTGCAGGAAGCACCTTCGCGCTCGGTTCTCAGAAGGATATTTCTCAGAGACTCTCTCAGTTTCCAATTCCTGTCATGCAAGGCTCTAAAGCTGTGTGTGAGCCTAGGTATTTGATGACGCATTTTCGGCAGAGACTATAGAAAAAGCAAGCGCCTGCCTCCCAAGGAATGACATTTCGCATCAGAATTGTCGGCCAGAGGTGTGGTCTCCGGACTCCTGGAACCGCGGGAAATTTAAGGATGTGCTTCCTCATGCTGACATACGCAGTAGACGCAGGCGTACGGCCAGACATTAAGGGCTACATTTCCGAGGCCAACTGCAAACCAGGGCATGGGGGGAATTTTATTTTCAATTACGGAACATGGGGGCAGAAAAAAGGGCTGCAGTTCCGTCATGCAAGGCTCTACGGGCATTAACATGGAACGGTAGGAAATATGGGTAAGGGCGCTACTGTCCCAACGAGAACAGTTAGAAATCCACGCTCCAGCTCCGAGAACTCCGGCGAGGTGCCTCGTAGCTGGATGTAGCTTTAAAAGCTCATATTTCCCATCATGTAAAGCTGTACGTAAGGTTTTGAAGGGCTCTGCGCAATTCGGGCAGCTGATTACGTACTTCCTGTTACGTATTACCGCGGAGCACGCAGGAACCCATGAAGCCGGCAGAGGACTACATTTCCCAGAGGGCCTTGCGACATCCGCGCCAGCATGTAAATAAAAGCATTTCTTCGCCTAAGGCAACACTGGCCAAAGTAGTGACGCAACAGGAAATGACCGGGCATCCTCACGCTCCTCACGCTAGGTTTCCCAGCTCACGCTAGGTTTCCCAGCTCACGCTAGGTTTCCCAGCGGGTTTGGAAAGAGTCTCGCAGCCAATCCGGAGCTATGTGAAACCTCGGCTAGCCTGCGGGGAGCGAGGGCTGCCTATCCGAAGGGCCTGCTGAGCAGTGGGGGCGCGCGCCCAGTGATAGACGCAGATCCAGTCGCGCTTAGCCTTTTTGGAGAAACCTTAAACAGTGCCGATTTTTTTTTTCCCCCTTAAAGCACGTTTGTCAGCCATATGTGAGCCTTATCCGACAAGGCCAGCAGAGGTCGTCAGGTCCCCTGCAGTTGGAATTACTTGTGTGGGCCGCCGTGTGGATGCGAGTAACTATTGAACCATCGCTCCAGTCCCTCAATGACTTCCTTTTTTTTTTTTTTTTTTTTTAAAGATTTTATTTTTTATTGTTTACACAACATTCTGCCTGCACACCAGATCTTAGTATAGATGGTTATGAGCCACCATGTGGTTGCTGGGAATTGAACTCAGAACCTTTGGAAGAACAGCAAGTGTTGTTAACCTCTGAGCCATCTCTCCAGCCGCCCCCCTCAATGACTTCTTAAAGTCATTAGTTTGAAGTAGGAGTTCACGTAGCTCAGGCAGACGTCAGCTTCAGGACCCGAATGATGGAAGATGAGACCTGATTCCCAAGGGTTCCTCCGACATCCATACATGCTTCGTGGCAGACGGGCGCGCACACACACACACACACATACACACACACACAGGGAATGAAAAAAAATAAATGTAGTTTTAATTTATATTATTGTGTGTGCAAACATGTGCTCCACAGCACACATATAGAGATCAGAGGACAACTCTTAGGAGGCCTCATCTTCCACCATGTGGGACCTGGGGACCGAACTCAGGTCATCAGGCTTGACAGCAGGCCTGCCTGACAATCTCACTAGTTATTTTTCTTTGTTTTCAATATGAATTGCTTTTCTGTGCTTCCTCCACCCTTCAGGGAGGCCGCTAAGAGGAGACACACTCGGGCCTGTGCGTGGGGACACTCCAGGCACTGTCTGTGTCCTGGTGTCTGTGCCTCAGTCTGTCTGCTCTCCCTGTTTCCTCAGCTGTGGACATCACCCGCCATGCGTGGACACGCTCTTGCTCACCTGCCACCCGTACACCACTGGGCGTGATTAGCCATAAGCCACTTCCGAACCCCTAACCACCACTTCTCATGTGGAGTCACGGCTGAGCCATGTGCACCAGCCATGAAAGACACAGAGTGAGAGCTTTGCCAGGGCTCCCGCAGGGGCCTTTACAGGGTACTTAATGAACAAAATATATACATGGTACACCCATGTATGTATGTATGTATGTATATGTATGTATGTGTATGTGTGTATGTATGTCTGTGTGTATGTGTGTGTATGTATCTGTGCAGTGATGGCTCACACCTTTAGTACCAGCACTCGGAAGGCAGAGGCAGGTGGATCTCTGAGTTCGAACCCAGCCTGGTCTACAGAGTTAGTTCCAAGACAGCTCAGGGCTACACAGAGAAACCCTGTCTCAAAAAAGGAAAAGAAAAAATAGTAGGGAAAGTGGTAGTGTTATTTTCTTGAAAATCATGCACACAGCAGATATCATGTAGAAGAGGTTTATTGGCTGGAGATGGAGAGGAGAGGGAAGGAGAAAGAGAGAGGGAGAGAGACATGGTAGGGGGAGGGGTGCCCCAACAGAATAGGGAGGGAGCAGGAGAGAGGGAGCCCAGGCAGTGTGTTGGTCTTTTTATATAGCTCGTGCCCGAATCTGCCAGGTGTATCTGCCACACCCCTGGCAGGGGACACATGATGACATCATAGGTTACTAGGCAACCCAGAAGCAGGCTAACAGGTAACACATGTCTCTAATCCCAGCACTCAGGAGGCCTAGGCAGGCAGATCTCTGTGAGCCTGAGGCCAGCCAGGAGCTTGAGTTCCAAGACAGCCAGGGCTACACAGAGAAACCCTGTTTAGACCACCTTTCCCCCCAAAAAACACTATGTTGAATCTGGACAGGTAGATCGTCCTGTTTCTTTTCTTTTCTTTCTTTCTTTTTTTTGTTTTGTTTTGTTTTAGGAAAGGTCTTACTATGTAGCCCAGGCAGGCCTTGAATTCACAGAGACCCACCTACCCACCTGCCTCTGCCTCCGGATATATTCTCTGCCTACAGTCCATACAGGATGCAACAAAACAATCACAGACACAGTATTTACACAATAGCTAGTTTTGGGTCAGGCGGAGAAGGTTGAATCTACAGGGAGATCAACAAGCTCTGGGGAGACTAGGTGCTATAGGCCCCGCAGCAGCAAAGAAATGGAGGAAAAGCAGGTGCTAATCATAGCGGTCAGGAGCAGAAGCCTCATAGGGTTTGTTGCCAGCGTGTTTCGGAAAACTAGGATATGGCTCACGCCTGTCGTCTCCAGCACTGGGCTAGAACTGCCTAGAACTGGAATTACAGTTAGGCTCCACCAGGCCCAGCGCTAGATGCCATAGGACGGCTCCCTAAAAGCCAAAGGTGGGTGCAGTCCCCGCCGTGGACAGCAGGGGGCAGCAGCCTCCATGATCACTTGGAAAGCCCAGAGAAAGTGCCATAAATTCATGGGGGGGAGGGGTGGTAAAAAGTTAAGAGGTTTACTTTCCTCAGAGTTACGCCCCCAACACCCCCACCCCGAGGGAAGGATGCTAGCCACATCCAGCGGCGCGTGTAGTTGCCCTGCCTTGACTTCATCAGGATAGGCCAGGGTCTTGCTCCCAGTGTGCTCGGGGCCAGGAAGCAGCACGCACTCAGAGGTGTCCGGTGGGCGTCGCCCGGCCCTCAGGTGCAGCGCTCGACAGAGTCGCTGGCAGAAGCATTTATGGGAGGGGAGGAAGCTCCGGGAGCCACTTCCCTTCTGCCGCAGCCTGCCTGTTGCCATGGAAACCAAAGCCACTCAGTTCTGAAGGACCTCTGAAGAAGCAGGAAGTGGGCAAGGCTCTCTGGGCAGCTCCAACTCTCCCTGGGGAGGTGATCTCTGTGGTTGCTGAGCAGGGGTTGGGGGCCGGGGGGCTGAGGTGTGGAGGTGGGGTGGGTTGGGGGAGTGGGGAATGTCACTCAACTTTTAAACGGCATTCTATCTCCCAGATAAAATTCCAGATGATGCATACAGCAGATTCCAAGCGGGTAGCGGAGACCCTCAGGGTCCTGGAGGCTCAGCTAAGTCTCTGAGCCGTCCTGGCCGTACAGCTGGAGTCGCCACCCAAGCCCCTGCTCACATGTCTGTGTGTCAGCGTGCCTGCTGGGGAAGTCAGAGAGGCCTCATCCCTGTTATGCAGTAGATAGGTTCATAATCCCATCACCCCAGATGCTGAGGCCAGGATGGGCCAGCCTAGGCTACACTGAGACACTGTATCTCAACAAGCAAATAGAGAGCATGAAGTCAGGGAACACTAGGCTGTTAGAAGTGTGGAAGGTAGCAAAGGACCTCACAGAATTGGGCCACAAGCTGCTCGGGGTCCTCTGTAGGGAGAGGGAACATTCTGGAATTCGGATGTGGTGATGGCTGCAGAACATTGCGAATGAGACTGTGGACTGGTAATTGTCCTTTAAAATGGCTTAAATAGGCAATTCTCTGCTAACTCAGCTACTCAGCTTCGAGGAAGGGGAGGGTGCATGGCAGGCTAGAAGATGCAGAGGAAAGCCTTGAACCTGCTGACCAGACAGGAGGGTTGGGGTGTGTGCTTGTGAGCATGACGGGTTGGGGAGGGAGGGATGGACAGAAGGAAGGAAAAGGCAGGATGGTGATGGCAAACGGTCTTAGCTCCTCATAGCCTGGCTTACCGGGATAAAACCCTGGCCTGTGACCCGGGCGTAAAGAGGCTCAGAGAGCAACAGCCCAGGAAAGGAAGTGCCAGGCGTGGACACTCTCAGTTTCCATGGACAGCCTGCAAGCCTTAAGACCTAGTGGGGGATGGGGGTGGGG